AAGACCTTGATACCCCGTCCATATCACCCTACTTCGATACAACTCTGTCTTCGCCTTGTTGACAACCACGTTATGCTCTCTATTATGGCCTGCACGACTCTGCATGTATGACAGACTACCTATTCTATGTCTGAGCTTGTCTTCATTCAGCCCTGCATTTTTTTCTTGCTCGGTTCTAGATACATCTGAGCGTTTTTCTGTTCTTCGGGTGTCTTTATCCCTGCATGATTTTGCTCTTTGATGTGACGATATATTCCTCTTCATACATGATTACCGTATAATTCGCCTTATGGGCATAGCGAGCAATGAGGAAATCGATAACCCGGATATAATTGAATTCACTTGCCGAGTTTCATTGTAATACCCAGGAACATCGACACATGATGACCTCTAAATGTCGTGCTCGCTCCATAGTCATGGGAGTAAATAGTACTAGTGTGCTCTAATTCTTGCATAATTGTTTGTCTCTTTGAATCATCATGCTATCGATTTTGCGACGGGCTATTGTGCAGCAAAGTAGAGGATTTGCGACGAACCATATTGCCGTTGACGGTCTTACCGGTGCAGTGGGAAATACACCATTGGTGAGGAGGTCACCGCGCAAAGACAGTAGGATCCTTTCTAACACCATCGTCAGATCTATCTTAGGACGCTCTCGGAGCAGACGGGAAGCAAGATATATGGGAAGGCTGAATTCCAAAATCCTGGAGGCAGCATTAAAGACCGTGCTGCTGTTGGCATAGTTCTAGATGCGGAGGAGAAGGGTCGGTGAGTGGGAGTAACACATAGCACAATAAGTATTAACGTCGTGGATGTACGCAGCATAAAACCCGGTGGAACCATTGTTGAGGGTACTGCAGGCAACACTGGTATCGGTCTTGCCCATGTCTGTAGAGCCAGGGGTTACAAATGTGTGATATTCATGCCTAACACTCAGGTGAAGTAAAGCCGACCACCTTGCTATTGTCTCCTTTGCTGACACTTTGGTGCTCAGAGCCAAGAGAAGATTGACCTTCTCAGCATGCTCGGTGCAGAAGTGCACCCAGTACCTGCAGTTCCCTACGAGAATCCATTGAACTATAATCACCAGGCGAAGGAGTATGCTGAAAAGCTGGAGAATGCCATATGGACAGACCAATTCGACAATACCGCCAATGCGTACGCGCACTATGTCTCCACTGGGCCCGAAATATGGGAACAGACGAAGGGTGACATTGATGGTTTCGTGTGCTCAACTGGTACTGGTGGCACTCTGGCTGGAGTTGGCAAGTATCTGAAGGAAAAGAGCCCCAAGACGCAAATTTGGCTCGCCGATCCGCCTGGCAGTGTCTTGTACAAATATGTCTCTTCTGGTGGAAAGCTCATTGAGCGTGGCGGAAGTTCTATCACAGAAGGTTAGACTTTTTCTATCTATCATGAGTCGACATGGCTGAATGTTCTATTCTGCAACCACATAGGTATTGGTCAAGGCCGTGTCACGAATAACCTGGGCATTTTTGTCAATGACCTGTCGGGAGCTTTGCATATATCGGACGAGAAGTCGATATCTATGGTGTATCAGCTTCTCGATAGCGAAGGCTTGTACCTAGGCGCTTCCTCGGCGCTGAATGTTGTCGCAGCTGTAGAACTTGCTCAAAAACTAGGCAAGGGTAAGTGCAGAAGTCAACTACATCTCACTGCCCATGTTAAAGCTCAATTCTATCTATCAGGCTCCAAAGTTGTAACTGTACTGTGCGACGGCGCATATCGATACCAGAGCCGTTTGTTCTCCAAGAAATGGCTAGAGTCGAAAGGGTTAGGAGATGCTATACCAGAAAGTCTGAGGAAGTACGCAGTTCTAGATTGATCAAATTGCTGTTACATTGATCTATTATCCTGTCGCAACTATGGACATACCATCTGAACTCTGCTCAGAGATAAGTAATAAGGCCATCACTATGTCGGTCCGTTTATGAGGTCTACATTGCAAAGAGTTGTCGATGCAGTACTCACCTTGCGCCCCCATCTGCTAACTCAGCAATCATAACGGATACAGGCCATGGATTCATGCAGTGTGAGATCGATTGCTAGTAGGTACGGGGGATTATTTGAGTATACAACACTGCCTAATATCTTATGCCTGTATTCACTTCCAGCTAGGCAATTTTTACAAAGGGAGTCGCACGGCGCGCGCCAGCCTCGAGACTCTGAAGACCATAATATTATGCATGGCCATTGGCCACCTAGCTTCTTGCGTTTCTTCGGGACTGGGTGGCCTTATAGCGCGGCAAATATTGTTATCGGATGCCGTTACGCAGTATTCTGTTACACTTCTTATTACTGACCTCTTCCATCTAATATTTGTAGAAGGGAGTAAGATTTAGGCTAGTGGCAATCTATGGTTACAATCCCATGTTTCATGATTGGTGCTTGTGTCCCGAGGAATCTGCGATTCATCAGTCACGGACACCCGGCCTATCGCTCATTTGCTGGTGTTCAGGGCGCACCTTCCAGCATAGGTTGTATCCATTTTATCACCGTGACCTGACAACGATACGCACTGTGAGAAGCACCACTGGTGGAAAAAACCCCTTTTGAGCTAAATATATCAAGCACGCAGCAAATAACGCGACCTGATTTAATTTGCATTCCGATATGTCAACGTCATGATTGCAAGAATGGCTAGACTTCGCACAAGTTGCCGGTACTACCTGGCCGTACTAAGCACCATCTGTGTTAATTGCTTTCTTTGTCTTCAGTGGTGTTTAATTGATAATTTCTTGACGGGTTATCATCCCCTGCTTCTGAGAAGTGAACCGCCACCTCATCCCCAAACCTCATGTTGATTTCTTCAAGCGAAAGCCCCTTTGTCTGTTTCAATGTCGTCAAACAGTCCAGCAGTAAAGAAATTTGAGCGCGGGAGGCTTACTTCTGGGAAATGTCGCCATAGAATCGTGACATCAATCGCAGTCAAGCAGATAAACATCACGTAATAGTACCATCTGATGGTGGAAAGTGCAGTTGGCCCTGCTTCAAGGAACACCACAGTCGAAAGGAACGTGCCGATCATTGAGAACGCCATTCCCTGCGAGCGGATGTGTGTGGGGAATATCTCAGAGCAGTACACATATGAAGTCGCATCGATGCCTCCCGCGTAGAAGAAGATGAAGCAAAAGATGAAGAACACGCCAAGAGAGTTTCCTACGCGATTATTGGTGCCCACGTATTCGGCCTCCATAGCGCATTCCAGGCCGAGGGTGACCATGCATCCAATCATTCCGATGACTTATACCGGCGTATGAGAAAACGACAACTAAGAGTGAAGTAAAACGTACTGAGGAGGCGCACTCGTCCAACGAAATCCATGACGAAGGACGCAAGGAAGTTTGCCATAGTTGCAACAGTGACATACAGTGCACCGAGGATCAAGACCAATCCCCCGTTAAAGCCCAAGTCGTTATACAAATTGACTATGTAGTCTGTCCCGCGTTGATTAGTTTGCTGACAAGACGGAGAAGAGCATTGGGGGTACTTGAGACAACCATTGCACCAGTGGCTTGGGCAGAATATTGTGTGAAGAACCCAATCATCATCCTTTTACGGTATGATGCCTTGCTATACATCTGGCGGGCACCACCTCCAGTGATCCATGCATGCGAGTCCATTTCTACCTGTTTTACCATTTGATAGAATTCTTTTTGGGCATATGAAACCTTGTTGGTATCCACAATACCTCCGTCGACATGAAGGCGAGAAATAATATCCCAACTTTCTGCATGGCGCCCTTGCATGAGTACTTGATGAATTCATCAGCTGAGGAATCCTAAATATCCAATAATTCAGCTTACACCAACGCGGGGATTCGGGAACCCATGGACTGCAGCAGAACAAGCCAAGAGGAAAGACACATTGGAGGGCAAGAGGGAAGCGCCACTGAAAACTGAGATTGGAAGAATAGAAAGTCCCAACACCAACCCAGCTTGCAATCGCATATCCGAAAACGATCCAAGCACCTTGTATCATGGTCAGATAATTGGTTCGGGTGATAAAACAATAAATACCATGTTGGCCGACAAGAAGGCCACGGGAGGAGGGAGGGGAGATTTCCGCCTGGAAAATAGGTACGAGAACAACCATCATTCCAATCCCACATCCAGTGATGAAGCGTGCTACGAGAAGCATGGCAACATTAATTGAGCCTGCTTGAAGGGCTCCGCCAATAATGCAAATCAGAGCAGCGGTATTCATAGTAATCTTACGACCGTGCTTGTCGCACATGTAACCAACTGTGAGGGCTCCAATAATACCACCAGCAGAGAATAAGCCGCTTATTGAGCCTTCGATTTTGTTCGTATATGAGGCATTGTCAGCGAGACTGAAGTACTGAAGAAAACCAGGCTGTCCGAAGGTATTGGAGATGACACTGAAAGCATAGCCGTATGTGAGACTTCCAAGGGTCAAAACCAAAATAATCCGGATATTAAAGGCAGAATAGTGACCACCGTGCATGGTGAACGTGGCCGGGAGAGTAATGAAGGTACTCCGAATCACTCACGGTGACAAACTTCTTATGTGCTATTAAAAATACCATTTCATGATATGGCAGCAGAGCCAGACAGTGTCAACAAGATCAGCTGAACAGCGGCAAAAGGTATTCTTGGGTTGTTAGACGCTCGGAAAGGAGGAATGTCACTGGACTCAGGCTCCGGCTGGCCGCTGAGAAATTTGCGGCTAGATCGTGCCTCGGCGCAACTTGCAAGCAAGGTCACAAGATCAATGTTACCTACCATAGAATCACAGACCGGGGAGATCTCTAAACAAAGGAAAAGGTATTAGAGGTGGGAGTACTTACCAAGAAGAACAATGTCAAAGACTTGCAGTGGCCATGGCTTGTGGGCACGCGACGTGACTGATTTACATAAAATGAAGAAGTGACAACACGCGTGACATACCGCGTCGTGTTGTTCAGTCAATTTCCCCTAGGAGCCCAAAGGACATCCGCTTTCACCCTTCGCGCCGTGATGTCCGAGTCCATTCCTACCCAATGGATATCGCAGTACATCATCAAAGTTGCCGAAACATGTGGAAAGTCGTTTACTGATGTCCCTGTCGAAGCCATTTCACCTAGCAAGAACAAGAGAGTTCAAATACTCGAAGTACGTGCTTCTACTCATTTTCTACGCTCAATACTGACCGCTGCAGTTTTTAACATACAACCCAGATGCAGCAATATGGGGGAGAGTGTCTGACAAGGAATACAGTATTCCCGTGTGTTTTACTAAAGACGCTGTGTTGCAATATATGAAGTGAGTTTCATGCTTGGCTCTTGTCGACTGCTGTTCGACGTATTGCTGCAGGGATTTGCAAGGTCGCAGGCTCACAGAAGCGAAACATGCCATCTTTATCATAGGGAAATTTCGCCCCATCTTCGTACAAATTCCTGTTGGGAACAATCGTTCGAATTTGAGCGAGGATTGTCATATAGCTCTAGAAGTTGGTGTTGTTAAGTTTGTTGGCTCTGGTTTAGGTGTTTTCGGCTCCCCGCAGGATGTTGAAATGAACTCTCAAGTGAAGGCATGGGTTCGCGGACTCCGACGAGGTGGTAATGGTGGGTAAGTGTCAATAATTTTTTGTAACGAGCACTTTCTGAAATGCAACAGGGATGTCTTGAAGTGTGATAAACAAAATGCAGCAGATTCACAACTCCAAGAATGTCCAGTCATCAGCCATGTGGAGGCACCTCCCGCACTTCAGGCTCGGGAACCAGAACGTAATTCACCCCATATCGCGCCAAAACGTCCTGTCCGAAGGGCCGATCTGATGAGGGAATACCGCAAGCGCTTTGCGGTAAGTATGTGGAATTCGTGAAAATTCGTTATTGAACTGTGTTTATCAGCATGCCGAGAACGATATCTGGACATGTACAATGAAGCCTCCCGTTGATGACAAAGTGCAAACCCTCACCGGTGGTATGCATGCAGCTTGATACATTCCTCATAAGCTTAATTTAAGCGTAGAACAACCTCAAATGGGCCAGCTGCTTGTCGAAGAGTGTATACCTCCTGATACAGTGATCGTTGGTAAGCCCCGTATCGCAACCAAAATGTATCAGCAGGAGCGTTGACCGAAATACAGTCGCAAGGCCTCAACCCTGTACCCCGCCGCGCATACGTACACCTGAGCAAGACATAAATCAGCAGACTACACCCGGAGTCTCAGAATGGCCTTCATCTGCGCCCGGAAGCCCTGCTGGAGTACTGCCATCTCCGGCTCACGATGGAGACGATAATCTTCCAAATGACCACGCAAACGCAGAAGCTCCTGCGGAGGAAAACGGTTCCCTCCACGAACCCTCCACACCCCCTACTACTTCGCCCCTTCGCCCGCCCACACCCGCGCAGCGTATCAGACGGCCAATTCTTCCTCCGTCCCCTTCAGTTTCGTCCCCCATACCTGCGCCACCTTCCCCACTTCCTATACTCATTCGTAGAAACATAAAGCGAAGAGTTCCTCACCCTGGTGTGACGCCGTTACCTCCCGATCACTCAGGTCCAACTCAGATTCTTGTCCCCAATTCTGATACTTCGGGCACTCAATCTCAGTCTCAATCTCAACCACAGTCGGAACCTCCATCGCAACTGCTCTCCCAATCACAGTCACATCGACCTCCGTTTCCATCCCAGCTGACGCAAGAATTCAAGCCAGGACCGACGTCAACACCGGCTGCCGTCAAGCAGGGTGTCTCAGGCACAGGGCGTGGAACTTCGGTGATGCCTCCAGGCGACCAACTCGAAAGTCATTGGGGTGGTGATCATGCTTCTTCTCCAGGTGTCATCAGTTGGGACGTTCATGAGAAACTTGGCCATGACGGTCATCAACCGTCCGACACCAATCCAGATGCGCATCAAGTCCTACAACAATCGACGGCGGAAAATCCTGACATGATGGATGTTGACGCGGTCAATGGTGTCAAAATTACCGCTGTTGTGCCTACCACACCCCCACAAGCACCCGAAGACCCATTGGACGAATACAAACTCATAAGGGACACTTCACCGCAACCCTCCAATTCGTCTATGCATTCCTTGTTCTCTGGTTCCCCTAGTCTTTCACTATCCCAGTCCGAAGTCATACCCTCCGTTATACAAACGGCCTCCCCACTCCCAGGCGAACCAACAAGCCGGATCCCTTCACATGATGCAGAGGCTTGGAAGGCACCCAGTTTCATGAACTCTTGGAAGGGTAAAGGCAAGGCTACAGAAGTGCTTGACAAGACATCCGAGACGCACAAAAGAAGACGGGCGTCGCGCACATCTTCGTCTCCACTCGCTTCTCACAAGCGCAGAAAAGTTGTGGCGGACGAAACGCTGGAACCTAGACTCGCAAGGCCTGTCAATAAAGACGAAAGAGCAAGATCCACCGTCCCAAATGGCAAGGGGAACCACGCCATCACATTGGATATCATGGAGTCACACAAAGAGAGTCCAAGCATCAAGCAATCATCGTCGTGTAGGATATCCAAAGATTTAAGCCAAGTACTGGACGCGTCGTTCTCTCGGAGCATCAACAAGAAGCGCAGGACGCGTTTAATGGGCTACCAGGTCGACTTTGAGGATATTCCTGCCAAAGCTGAATCTTCAAGTCCAATGATGAACCTGGGACGTTGTCGTACCATGTTACTGCGAAGCGGAAGAATACGGACGCTTGGCGACAAGGTGACCAGAGATGGGAGTATATATATTATGTCTGATTAATTCAATATCCATGATGTTGTCGGATGGAGTGGGATTAAAGTAACCAGCTTTAATGTTAATGACTATCTTGTGATTGGTTCACACCGTGCTTGTACTAAGTAACACAGTACTAGCAGTTCTTCAAGGTAGTATAGGCTTCGAGAATGACTACATTGTTCTGCTTCAATCATTATCGAGTTAGCGGAGTACGGAGTCACGTTCAACGATCTAGTGACTGCTGGGACCCACGCTGCCGACAACGGTCAAAGTACCCATGATAGACGATACCCACTGTCATAATTTTTGCACCTGGATTTCAGAGATGTTTGTGGTTGTTAGACGACGGGCCTGCTAATCACCAACCCAGGTCCTGGCAAAAATTCTCTGTCGCACTCATGCACACTTCTTGAAATGAGAGCGCTTGATCTCTACATTCAAACCTGCGCCCAGTAATTAACTTCTGCACATCGCCCGATGTCAAGACCCCTCTAGGACACAGGAAAAACGAGCGCTGGACCGATGATGCAGCCAATGCGGCTGTGCACAACATGATGTTGTGGCTGCCAGTCTGTAGTGGGAAACAGTAGGTCTATTAGTCAACAAATCATACTTAACACATGAGCGCATCGTCATGTACTTCGACGCAACATTAAAACATAGCGCATTTTAGGCAGAGGACGACAATTCCCCGAATGAGTGTCTCCCACACTCAGGATTTCGCGACTGTTGGTGTGATATCGCAACCAACAATCACAGAAGATTTAAGATAATTGAGATGCTTGTTGACCTCGTCCCATTCCTTCTGGAAGACCATGCTGGCGTTCCAATGGTCCCGCCGGGTTAGAATTCGGTCGACGCAAGGGAGGACGAAAAAGATGATGCGAGCGACAGCTTCTGCATCCGCTACATCAGACTGGGTCAAGTCCAATTTCTGTAGGGTGGTATGTTGTAATATCTCGGCTGCAGGATCGATATCGATATTCACGGCATCCATTAATATGCGCAGCGTATGCAAGTGGGGACACAGGGGGAGCGCTGCAAATAGTCCCCGGAATGTAATTGCAGGTGGCATCTGCGAGTCCACCAATTCCAGCGAGCGGATGTGCGGCCAACTTGACATAACTTCCAAAAGAAGGTCATTGTCAATGTGGATGCAGTAATGCAGATTGAGCCGCACAGTCCGGAGATGGGTGAAACAAAGAAGATGTGTAACCGTTGTCAAAGAGTCGCACGAGGGCTCATGAACTTTTGGAACATGGGAGGCTATGCTAATGTGTTCGAGGGTCTCCTGTGCTTTGCACTGGGATAGCGCACGACAGAGTTGCTCAACCTCTGCGCAAGGCAAAACATCGGCAACCATTTCAAGCTCTTTGAGCGAGGGGAATTCTGAATGTTGCATGACCGTGATAGCGTACGCAGCCGTGTTTACATTGAAAGAAAGAGTCGTGACGTTGAGGAAAGGTGCGAAATTGACTATATCCCGGTTTAATGACCAACGAGAAGCACTGCGCGGTTCACGGACTGACACTTTGAGAAGGCTAGGGAGGTCGGAGAGGTGTTTCCATGCTTCCCAGTCGAGAGGCAGACAGGACAGAGTTACGAGCCGCTTGCACAAACGGACACTGTCAGACAGAAGGGTTCGATCATCTGCTGACTGCCGCTCCCATTCAGGAATCTTGAGAGATAAGTGCTCCAAAGCAGCACAACGAGTTGCAAGAGATTTCAATTCCGGATTAATGACTGATAGGACACAACGGCGCAACGTAGGGGACAGAAAGAGATACAAGTATTTATGTTGAAGACGTCGAACTATAAAGGCCAGTGACAGCAGTCTCGGAAACATGCATGTCTCGATGGGGAGTACAGCGAAAAGGTGGAGATCCTCGCTGCATGATATACATAATGAGCGCACACGGGCGGCGTGATCCAGAAATTGGTGGGCTTCGTGCTCAGATAATGGTTCCACTCCTTCAGACCAGTCCCAGGTAAGCGGCTTTTTGGAAGCTCAGTGAACCGATAAACAGGAAGAAGTACGACTAGCCCAGACTGACCTTTGAACCACTAGGATATATCAATCGATATAGCCTCGGTACACAGCCTAGCAGTGGTATTATCCCATCCAAATCAGCCCAAAGCAAGTCCATCGCGGGCTCGTAGAAAGCTTTGCATGTCCTGGCAAGCGCTTCAAGGGATGCTTTCTTGCCAGCATGCCGTGAGCCCCGATTCTCATTCACATGCGCAAATATCTCCGAGAGGATTTCGGAAATAAGCAGAGCCTGATGCATGAGTTGTGCTGGTGCGTTGAATCGTCGTTGCCAAAGCAAGTTCCCTTTAGGGAGTGGCGCGCACAACATACATGTACAAACAGCCTTAGAAGGTACGGTCCAGTCGGTACTACATACTAAGAATGATCTTACCTGATAACTGGCGCATAAACAGTGTGCAATGAAGGCAAACCGACACAATAGCTGTCCATGGCCTGTATTGTTGGTGAAGCCTTGAAGACTTTGATCTCATATCCAACATGACTCAGGTGTCGCGCAACGTTTTCCAACTCTTGTGCAACATAGTCGAGTTGTGTGAGTATAGTAAAACATTTTGATACGAAAGGAGGCCCCTGGTCTAAGTCCTGCACCTCATCTGAGAGGTCATCGAGATTGTGCCAAACCGAGCGGATTCGCGATTTTCTTTTTTTCTGCAAGATGGGGGCATGCCTTTAGGTTATATGTCGACAGCATATTGAAGTCACGTTTCACACAACCTCATGGTGAGGTGTCCATCAATTCGGATAGATTATGGAGCTGTAAGTGAGCAGGAAGGTGGTCAATTCACTTACAAAAAAATCGGATGACGTCCTGTCAAGCAGAATCCTGAATCCTGAAAGCTGAGTGCTCATAACGAATCGAGAAGCAAGCTGGCCCCTTTAAGCTGGCCATAAGCAAAAATTTATATCCCAGTGAAAGACGGTGATGGTGCACAGAAAGAACATAGAAAAGCACCTATGTGTCGGGGACGACAAAGTTTAATCATGTGTCAACTCGGACTCGGATGAGCACTATAATCTGACGGCAACAAAAGCACGGTTATCGTGAAGTTCTCCACGAGCATGTATCAGGATCTGCAAGCAGCGGTGTAATCGTGATTCGTTCGGATTCATAGAGTCCTAGTCAGGACTCAGATGTGGTTGCTTTTCAAGGCCATGAAAACTATTTTTGTGGCGCAGCTTACTTGCGAGCACGTGACCAAGACGCGACACGAACCTGTCACAGGCACGTCACATCTTGTTACATCGCCCTTGAACATTTGCATCACAGCACGCATTTTGATTTAACAGCTCAACGACCATTTAAGACACCACGAATGAAGCGCGCAACTTCTCGTAAACCAGTACCAAGCGTATCAGATGGCGTCACCGGGGATGCCGACTATCAACGTCCACTCATAAGTCCAAACAACTCGTGAGTGCTCAGTGCACTAACAAACGAAGAACATATTGATGCATATGCACAGTGTGGACGCATCATATGCATCCATTGATCAACAAGTGGATGAAACGCTCGTTCGCCATTCAGTCGATTCGCACAAATCTGTAAACTGGTAATGTCCTAGTATCGTACTACGAAGTCACATCTGACTGTGCGCGAAATCAGTGAAGGATACTTTGAGCAAAGTGCGACAACAAACAGATCTATCTCTTCTGATTCTCGTCCACCTCCAGAAAGGTATCAACCGGGGCAGCTACTTCCAACGATAATGACCTGGAGAAACATTAGATCTTGAGGAGTCGTACACAGCTGATGAACCTACATCTTCGCAGGGTCATGACCCTTTCTCAGACCACCACGCTACCACACACACTCATCAGCAAACTCCTTACACTCAATTGTCCCCAGCACGAGGACTCCCTCAACCACAATCGAATACGTCACACGAACACCTCGTCGCCACTCCTTTCAGCTCTACCCCCACTATCTATTCGAATTATGGCACAGGGCGATCCCCTGGACTCAACAGTTCCGTCGATCATTTCCAGCACGACACCGAAGCATATGCATCGGGTAACTTCACTCGCTCCTTCTACCGTCCCCCGAGATCACGGTCGCCCACTCCGTTCATGGATGAAGATTACAAACTTGATTCCAACAACAATACTCATTATACAGGATACTCTCAAGCTCGCGAGTATAACCCTTACGAAGACGAGAAGACAGTGTACAATGACGAGTATGATATCTCGCAGTATGCTGACGTTCCCGGCACCGAAGAGTACTATGATGATGGTGAAAAGACGCCTGATGCTTCAGTTGGATATCAAGAATCAGAGACACCTATTGAGACCCGTCATTTTGGACCTGCACCCGTCGGGCGCGTTCGTAGACGCCTGAAAAAGAAACGGGTGCAGCTGACAAATGGCAATCTCGTCGTAGACCTCAATGTACCTCCAAAGCTCGTTCTCCCCTACAGAGGGGAGCCAGAGATGACTAAGACGCGGTACACAGCGGTTACTTGTGATCCCGACGATTTCGAGAAAGAGAAGTTCTTTCTACGACAGAACGAGAATGGCCGCACAACTGAGTTGTTTATTGTTATCACTATGTATAACGTGAGTTCAAGGATGGTTTAGACATCTACTTTTTAAACCTGTTATTGCAGGAAGATGAGGTCCTCTTTTGTAGGACCTTGTATGGAGTGATGCGCAATATAGCGCATCTTGGCTCGCGCAAGAATTCCCAGACATGGGGACCTGATGCCTGGAAAAAGGTGATCATCCCGTTGTCCTATGCTGCTTTACCCTTTTCATATCCTCTAGGTCGTCGTTTGTATTGTGGCGGACGGCCGCAAAAAGGTCCACCCACGTGTGCTTGACTGTTTGACGCTCCTTGGAGTTTATCAGCCTGGAGATCATATGAAGAACAAAGTTAACGACAAGGAAGTCACCGCGCATCTATTCGAGTACACGGCTTCCTTTGCATTGGATCCGAACCTTCACTTCAAGTATCCAGATAAGGGCATCGTGCCAACGCAAATTATGTTTTGCATGAAGGAGAAGAACCAGAAAAAGATCAATAGTCATCGGTGGTTCTTCAACGCCTTTGCACCCATGTTACAGGTAAGCGATGGTGTCATTAAATACAGTGTAAAACTCACTGTATTCTCAGCCTAATATCTGCGTGTTGCTCGACGTCGGAACACGCCCAGGCAATAACAGCATATATCGGCTGTGGAAAACATTCGACGTCAACTCAAACGTTGGTGGTGCTTGTGGTGAGATCGCAGTATACAAGGGCAAGAACTGGCAGTACTTGCTGAATCCCCTGGGTTTGGCATTTCTTTCATTTGACAATGATGCTTCTTGACATTTAGTGTCTTCCCAGTCGCGGCTCAAAATTTTGAGTACAAGCTCAGCAATATTTTGGATAAGCCAACGGAAAGCATGTTCGGTTACATCAGTGTCCTGGTATGCTAATGTGCTGAGTCTACCGTGAATGATGTAACTGATAATCACAGCCTGGCGCTTTTTCTGCTTATAGGTATACTGGAGTCGCTAGCTATCAATGGTGCTTATCTTATAGCTTTTCATAGGTATATTGCCTTGGCAAACAACAAGGACGGAACAGGTCCTTTAGCTTCTTATTTCAAAGGCGAAGTTCTTCATGGCCACGACACTGACATATTCACATCAAACATGTGTATGTCTTTGCATCGGGCTCCTTTGTAAACTTCTCTAATGTTCGAACGCAGATCTTGCAGAAGATGTATGCCTCCCTGCTTCCGGATGATACTATGTGCTGAGATTGTTTCAACCCACAGCGTATCCTTTGTTTTGAGCTCATAGCGAAAGCAAATTCGAACTGGTAACGCTCAATTTGTCACGGCTTTATACTCCTGACTGGTTGATTTCAACAGGGTGTTGAAGTATGTCAAGGGTGCCATTGGTGAAACCGACGTGCCAGATGCGTTACCAGAGTTCATCAGCCAGCGCCGGCGATGGCTAAATGGTTCGTTTTTTGCAGCGGTATATGCTGTGGCACACGTAGGGCAAATTATGCAGTCTGGGCACAGTTTCAGCCGAAAGGTGACCCTCATGATCGAGACCGTTTATAATATCATCAACCTGGTATTTTCATGGTTTGGGATTGTGAGTATTCCATAGTTGCCCAGATGAAATGTCGACTGACAAGTGTCAGGGAAACTTTTACCTGTTTTTCGTCAGTTTCAAGGTCAATTGTGATCAGGTGCAGACATTAAGTCATTTTCGCAGGTCGTCCTGAGTTCGTCATTAGAAGACAAGTCCTTTGGTGTGCCCTCCATCAAATATTTCAATGCCGTAGTTCAGTACTTTTTGGCTTCAATAATCATCGCCTGCTTCCTCCTGTCCATGGGGAACAAGCCTAAAGCGTAGATGTTTTTTTCGACGTCCAAGCTGTGTTGATGTTGACATCTAGACAGGGCTCATCGCAAATACCTGCTAGCCTCACTTTTCCTGGCGGTCCTGATGGTGTACCTCATCATTGCATCTGTGCTATGTGGTGTAGCTGCATACAGCCAGGCCGGTGGAGGCGTGGTCCTTCTGAGCGTGGCGATAACCTACGGAGGTGAGTATCATTTGCTACGCTGTCCTTTTGCTTGTGATCAACTTCGATCTGCGCAGTGTATATGCTTAGCGGCCTCCTGGCGTTCGACCCATGGCATATGCTTACCAGCTTCGTGCAATACCTTCTACTGAGTCCGACATACGTGAATATCTTGAGCATGTATGTCGTCTTTCATTGACTCGATTGTAAGCGTAATATTCACTAACACATCCAAAAGATACGCGTTCTCAAACCTCGATGATGTAGGTTAGAGTCTGCACTAGTCGGGCATATAATCTGACGGCAGCCTAGATATCATGGGGCACGAAACAAGATGCGGTTCCAGACGCGGACCTCGGTGCTGCAGTACAAGACTCTCATTCTCAAGTAGATATTGCTATGCTTGCCGAAGCTGCAGACGTGAACGGTATCTATGAGGAGTCAATTGATAACCTGAAATACCGGAAACCTGCAAATAAAAACAAGGATAAGGTAATCACAGAGCGAGAGCGAGAAATGGCAGCTATCGACTACTACGCCAACGTCAGAACCAATGTGAGTTGATTTCATTAATTTAAGAACTGGAGGTTAACGTTTCATAGGTACTGTTGGCTTGGGTGTTGTCGAATGTGAGTCCGTCGAATCGAATTTTAGACCATGTGTTGATGAAATGTCTTCTTGGCAGGGCGTACTCTTGCTCATCATTCTCTCCGGTTCCAATTCATCAAGCACTTTCAATCCAGACGCAGGCGTATCGCGGACGAAGGCATATCTAATGTTTATCCTTTCGTTTGCGGCAATCACTAACTCAGTGGTGTGTATTCCATGCTTGCCTAACCGGACGAGAACTCAAATTTGAATTACAGCGGCTCGTTGGCTCAACCTTATATCTGCTAACGAGGATATTCACCGCATGACCGAGCGGATATTATAGTAGAAGGTGTATCATTATTTTGAATATGTAGTCAAGTTTTGTCTCCAATCATGTGTGCGAAAATTTTAGTTATGTAGCGATCACGGATTCATCGGGGAGTGTTTGTCATGCGGTGTCACGCGGTCTTGTCACTTCAGCTTCATTCTCGACCGCGATGTCGGAATACTGGGTGTCGCATAAACGTTACCACTGCAAATATTGCAATATTTATATAGCAGATGACGTCCCATCTAGGCAGCACCACGAGAATGGAATGCGCCATAAAGGCAATGTCGAACGCTTTGTGCGCGGGCTGTACAAGGCTGGTGAGAAAGCCGTGAAGGATAGGGACGAGGAGAAGCGTGAGATGGAGAGGATTAGCAAAGTGCGTTAATATGCAGTTTCCAGTTTCATTCGCTAATTTATACTTCAGGTCGCAGCCGCGGCATATGCTCAGGACGTAGGTGCTGGACTTGGGGGAGTCGGATCATCTTCACGTGATGCTCCCGCTGCAGCACCTGCGCCAAAGATGCCTCCAACGAAACCAAGCAATCCGTATGCTAACTATTCAACGGCTGCATCGTTGGGATATGCTGATCCTGATGCGGAGCGAGCTAAGGCAGAGGCAAATATAAGGCAGACGATGGGTGTCGCAGGAGAGTGGCAGTTCGTTCAGAATTATACGTCGGCGTCTCCTGCACCGGTACGGAGTGAGGTCCCAAGCGTGTCAGGAGATGCAAACGGAGAGACGGCAGGGTCTTCTGAGGGTGACAGGAAACGTGAAGCACCGGTGGACGATATCGAGGACGAGCGTGTTTTCAAGCTGAGGAAGAAGAGGGTCGACATTGGATTGGGAGAATTATACGACCCGGGACTTATACCTATCAAGTTGAAAGTGAAGAAAGAGGAGTCGACGGAACCGCAGCCTGCTTCATCGAAGGCTGCTGTCGACGATATCAAAGTCGACACTCAGGACGCGCCACCTGCCGATGCGAAGGTGAAGATAGCATGGAAACGCGCAGCGTTTCAGCCGGCAGCCGACGAGCCTGCCTCTGACGGTGTGAAGGCAGACTCTGGTGGGGGAGGTGTTCCAATGGTGCAACCCGAGGAGTCTGGAGTTGCTAAAGAAGAGGTCCTTGCTGCCAAGATTGAACCAGAGCCTCAAATACCACCAGAACCCGTAAAAAAGGAAGAAGCATCCCCCCCTTCTCTAGAGGTTGCTGCGTCCACAAGCCTCTTTCGCAAACGCAAGCTACCCACGAGACGTTAGTTGTTGATTTTAGAGGACTAATCCGTGCCGGATTTCGCCTTCAAGGTCTGTAATGTAGTCTCACTGTGTATGTATGTTAACTCTTTAGAAATGTAGAAAGGGAAGCGGAACCGTGCGGCATATTTTGATTTAACATTGCTTGTTGTCAGCATGGAGGTATGACTTCTTCTCGATACCGGTCGACTGGCTTACATTAACTCTTTTTCGTGCACAGGAACGACGAGTGTTACCTGGCCCAAAATATGCAATATCTCTTATGCTATGTTCTCACCAGTCGCCCGCATAGGGCGGTCGCAACCTCAACTGTGACATATGGTTAACGTCATACATTTTGATTTGTATCGGGGCAAATTCGTCCCAGAATCCCTCCTAGGTCCCAACAACCCTTACCAAATCGTTGCCGTAGGTTGGTGTAATAACGATTGCGGCAGGTTGCCGTTTGGTACCACCGAACGCAGTATCCGTTTTCAAGGTCTTTACAACGTCGTTAGCCATGTTCGACAGGACATACGTATGCAAATAACTTGCGCGACCCTTGGTCTCTGGGAAGAATAACATAAAGCGAGTCGAGCGTATCATTACGATTTTGGGATTTGACGTACGAACTGAGAGTAACGCAGCAAGAGAAACTCTGGCAAAGATTAAGTACGCCATCCCTCCTACGTTCAACATTATCGGCGTAACGAGCCCAACCACACTAAAGTCCATCAATACCAAAAAGACGAAGGAGGGTGATAGAACCACGCAAAAGTTCGGTAACCACGTGGTCAATGGCTGGACCGGAGGTGTAACGGAAAGATCTCACTGGAAAATTGAATTACTGGCGAATGCATCAAATCCTTGAAGAAGGTGAAATGAGCCCTCGCTCCGTCCAATCGGAGCCCATGAGTGAGAGAAGTTGACGTCGTAGACAATTACGAAGACTGTAAAACAGTTTATCATGTTTTGTAGGGTAGTTACAATGCACCTACCAAAACTTACCGGGAGACGTGGCGCCTGGAGTATACCACCGACACAGTTACATGTGCGAACTCCATCCGAGCTCCACCCCGGGTAGAGCAACATCTATAGCTCGGAGTCAGGATCAGTGTCACGCTCAGATCCAGGTTGGAAACATATGATGCCCAATATATTGCTTACAATCAATGTCAGCTAATATCTACAAATTGTAAGGACGTGCTGTAGCCTCCCTCCACCCAGATCCGCTGCTCCATCCCAGCCTTCGTCGAACGCGCTCGCCCCGTTCGCAGCACATATCCACGTAATATCCAGGGGTCCATCACTTCAATTTACACTGGTTTTAGCCGTCAGGATCTTATTCACAGCAATCCATCCATCATCAGAATGTTCAAATGGGGGTGGCACGGGTGTGCGGGGAACAAGCTAGTGGAAGAAACGAACACCCTCCAACTTCGGCAGCAATCTAAGCAGTATATAGGCCACAGCGCAAGGATCGCTGATCGGAGACATTCCCACAGGAAGCATAGTGATATTCTCATTTGGAGTGGTTTCAAAAAAGAAGGGATCGCTGTCGTAGTTGACCGGAGCTGCGCAAAAGAACATTTGAACGGTGTGCAAGCACGGGCAATGTTGGATGAGATGGACGAGTGCTGTAAAGGTCATAGATAGCGGGATTAGCCGACCAGCTGCACCTCCAAAGTGGAATAGCTCGAGCTGAGGCCAGGATTGTGCGAGTGTCTTGAGTGAGGCGTCGTTAATGGCCAAAGTATAAATGTACTCGAGCCGCAATTCCTTCAAGCGATTAAATGGCAGCAACGGGGCAACCACGTTAGAGCACGTAGCTGCGACTGGCGGTGTCTCCACTGATATATTTGAGGTCGAGCTCAAGCTCGACGCCAAGTGTCTCAAAAGCACACTCTGAGGGAGATGATGAGGTTGAGGATATGCAGTGGATCATACGGGACTTCTGGATCATAGCTTAAGTCATTATAATCGACGTACACCATCGCTAATCGACAGGAGGGCAGACGGACACTCCTGAGAAAGTGTCCGGCAACGGCGATGTATTGTATCAATACAGTGAGGTGTACTTGATCGAGTTGGGGGATAATAGTTGGAGTGGGGTTGGATTGCACTTCGTGGGTGTTCAGTCTGAAGTACAGAGACTTGAGGGCCGGTAAAGAAGCCAAGCGAAGAAACTCTCGTGGACTGTGTAAAAACGGGAAAGCTCCCGTAAGCCAGATAGAGCTTTATAAGTTGTGTCTGCACTTTCTGCAGAACCACCGACACATACCATTGAATTCCTGAATAGATGGACATCGACTTCCGAGGGAAGCTAACGCCGCAGGTTGGGTAAACGAGGGGGATGTTAATGGAAGGCCCACCCGGATTGATGTGATAGTTGGCCCAAGGAGGGTGCACAATAGCGGAAAGAAGTATTCTCGATCGTCCAACCAACGCAAATGACGAAGGTTTGGGAAGAGGGGTGTGGGTGATGATCCGGACATGAGTACTTCCATGTCATGATTGTTTGTCATGTCTAGCTGAGAGCCAGTGACCGTAAAGAAGTGGACACGTGGTGCATATTGATACATGAGCCTCCATGCTCCGGCTAGGAGAGGTCTTTGGATTTAAAATTTCTGAGTATTCAATATCATGCGAGTTATCTCGTTGTAGAAAAGGCCTCTGAATCCAACGTGACCTTCCGACCCAGCGAGGGCCAAGTCAGAGACACTACCGCCGGTCCCACCCTCTTGCTTGGACTCGATCGGATTTGAACGCGGTGATTGAGGTATGTTCTTCTACTTGGAGCACGTATTGCAAGGACTCACTGAGGAGGGAACTGATATTCAGGTTTAAAACATGCCGCGCCTTATAACAGGATAATTAACTCTCGTTTTCAACCTTTCGATCTGCCAGATCAGAAAGATTTGATAACCAACAAGGAAACTCCACTTACTCCCCCATACTCGCACGATCATCTTACTTTGGTCTGTGGTGAGCAGGGGAGAAAGAGACCGCGAGAAGTTGCTCTGCGCGAGCCCACGGGGATTCGGAGTCCACCGTTCGACTCGTTGGATGTCTCATCCCTCTTGGACATGGACAAGTCAGAGAATGGTCTTGAGCAGCCATACCAATGCTACATCGGCATAAATGGAGAAACCGTGGACATGTAGTGGGAGTTGAGGTCTAGGCCCGGGAGTGATGAACGTTGGTCTCGGTGATAGCCTGACTACAACGGTGCTAAATGGAGTCGCGCTGCCACGTAATGATGCACGAATCACGCTCATGAGATCTATGTATGCTGAGAATTCAGATACCGTCCCAATAATACTAGTGGCTGCACGAGATGAAGCGCGAACGAACTAGTGGTAACCAATAGTATGACCGACTTCAGGCGCGCGCAGCATGCATGGATGTTAGCATTCACGCATGGTCGTCATCAAGGAGAATTTTGTTACATAATGTCAGCCGTCTCTCGCATCGATTACAAGAACACAACCTTCAAGCATAACAATGAAAGGCATCTACAAATCACGCTCCCTTTCCTTCCATTACTGCCTCTACCAGCTCCCCGATCCATCGCTCAAATACCTCCTGTGCCATCACGCCCTTTTCATCGAAGAAGGCTGAGTACTGTTTGGCTTCGTGTGTTCGGCCCTTCGCAAGTAGTGATTTTCCCCCTGATGTAGACTGTACATAATTAATGGAAAGTGAATATGATGGTGAGTTTGTGGGGCTCGGCTTGAAAGATAATTTAGAGGACGGCACTGGGAGCGTGCGCGAGGAAATCGTTATCCGTTCTGTTATTATCTAAAGAGAAATAAGCGGAGTGAAAGATGGAGTAATTGTTTTAGACTCACTCTCTTTGAGAAGGTTTTCCGTCGACCGACAAAGATGGTATCACCCTCCACGAAGTAGGAGTATAGTGTCTGAAGGGAGGTGAGGACGAGGTAGCTGTGATGCGGGGTATTTCAATATATAAAAATCGCGATGTTTTATAGTGAACGCTTACAGTATGAAACCAACCCAGACTCCTAGCTTCGACTTTTCGAAGTCAGTTTTCCACCCATAAAGTCCCGTAGCTGCTGCTGTGAATACGCCTGCCCATCCCAAAGCCAATCGCACATCGGTATGAAGATGTATTTGTTTAAATAAAACAGGTCTGGATAGGTACTGCGATGGTGGGCGACGTGAGCCGTTTTACAAAGCCTCAATAAAAAGGTTACATACCCGTTTGAGGGCATCATCACACGCATTCTTGAGCTCAGACGGGCTGTAGTTGTTGACCTTGACAACCTCGCGCTCCTCCAGAGGGACACTTACACTCAAGGGACCGGGTAGTGAAGAAACAACTGAACTTGGACGGCGCGCTGGTGCTGAAGGTGCTGGAGAAAGTCCTTTAACGTCCTTTCGGGGTGCCATGGTGGTACTGGACAAAGAAAAAGGCGTCGAACGTGAGCGGTAAGCTTAAACCTGCTAAGTACTACTTGAAGGACGTGTCACTGTAGACATGTGGGAAAATACTTCTTTAATCGTATGAGCCCAACTCCAATGCTTGACGCCCAACATGAATTTCCCTTGCGTTTTTATGAGTATCGCATGCGCTTAACAGTCGCCAGTCATCTCCACTCCAGCAGATTGATGTCACTTCCTTTGTATGACCCATCCATTTCACGATGACATAGCCTGCGCCATTGCCCCATGACAACACTCAGTACTCAACCGTCATCATTTTCCCAAACCATTGACAACGTTATGGTCTACACGTATACAGCTCCTTCGTCCCGCCACTCCTATCTATCTATTTCCCAGTCTTCAAGTTCCATACCCGCAGCAAGTCGTTTAAACAAGTCATCATTTCCGTCTTTCGCATGTATGATGTCATCAATGAAATGGGTGTATCCTTCAACTTTCTGGGCTGGGCGTTATCGCTGATGTCCTCTGCGGGGGTGAAGATTTAATGAACTACTGGGCACATCCCCGTCTCAGCTTTTATCCAACAAAATCCACAATCGTTGAGGACGAGAACTGGTTCTTAGAAAGACTGACCCGCGGACGCAAGGGCGTGAGGAGCATTTGTCAATTCAGAATGAGTATACTGGAAATTCGAACTGGTCTTTTTAAATTTGTCATAATCTACGCGTTCGTTTCAAATCTTACTATGTGCAACATACGGCAGGAACGACTTTTGTTTGATCTGGCTAGGGGAGACAAAGGCTGTACATGCAGCTGACGCGCCCGAAGCTTGTTTGTGACCATGAATCGCATTTCGTGGACCGCACTCGTCATGTGTTCCGCTGTGACCTTGTAATATTGTTAATATCAGCCGTGTTAGTGGCACTACCCGGAACTTTCTCATTCACTGATTCACCGTTCAGACCTCGGCACAAAATCGCCACGCGTGAATCTGTTGACATAGCTTTGGTGGATCGCAATAATCCTTCAGAGCAGCGAAATTAGCCAAGGCGATGTCTTGCCCTGAGAAAGCCTCGTGGCTCTCAGATCACTCAGGCTAATGAGACTTACAGAGCCCCGGAGACAATGACACCCTCACTCGGATGATGTAAAACCCAAGGTGTCGCACTTCGTGTAATCAGGATCAATGTACACCTGTATCGGTATCATTTAGGTAAACAAAGTGACACTACCCAGTTAGGCTCCTGTCTCGTTGACCTCTCCGTGACAATGCCGCGGACTCGATGTCATAGCGCGGGGGATGCGCGGACAAGATATGGTTAAATGGAGAGGCTGCCGGCGCTAGCATAGATGTATTTATGTTTCAAGTGGAAACTTCAAGACAGGAAGAGCCATCAGCTGAGTTGCCGGCATGGTGGCCACAGATTTCAGAAACAGCACAACGGATTGAACAGAAAGTTAATTGCCGTCGATTAATTTCCAACGTGATGTTTTCCTTTTCGTCCAGGCTCCTTCCCACCGCTGTGTCGAGAGAGAGAGGCAGTCTTCTACCCTTGAGCTTGAACCCATGCATATGTGTATCTCACGTGCTAGTGATAAATTCATACTCAGCTACAACTTTAATTCTCTCTCTCCACAGCGGCAGACCACGCCGTGCTCAGCGGACTTCCAAAATCACTCAAGACATTCGATATTTGATTCTCGCTAATTTCTAGGGTTACCTCTTCCGAAAATGGACACCTATCGACAGCTACTTGATATGTTTTGCGGAGACATCAGTCTCTCGCAGTTTCTCGTCACCGTGCTCACAGCGCCGTGTTTTGATGATCACCCTGCAGTTGCCGAGTTGATATCTCGCAACGACAACATCATCCGTACGTTGTCACTCCACGTGAAGTCACGCGCTACCTTGTTAGAGTGGGCAAGGACTACCATCAACGCGGACTGTGTTTGAGAGGTTCGAAAACTTGCCAAGGTCGATAACGGATGGCAATTCAGTGCGCTGCATGCAAAGGCGGAGCAAATCGAGTGCTTCCGCATCGAGGAGATGGCAACGGAAATCGAGGCAGAGGCACCTGTACTGTGGGGACCACTCGATGCTGTTTTATCTGCGGGTCGTGCGAGGACAACAACGAGTGCAGAGAGACAGGATGTGTCCAAGGAATGGGAGGTAGAGGAATCTGAGTATTGGTGTCAAGTGGATGATCTTGAAGGTGTCATAGAAGGAATTACCGGAAATCATGTATCGCGAGCAGAACGGCTTGTCTTTCGTCGAGACGCAGCAATAAAACTGGTATGACATATGTCATACCTCCCTTGATCTGTACCTGAGATGAAATTTGTTAGCGCAAAGTGGTGATTATCTATGTGCGACGTGAATAAGGGAGCTTTGAGTAGCTTTTCAAATCCCCCTCCGTCTTTCATAACCTGCTCAGGACTGACAATAACAACTCGGTACTCCAGGTTCTCGATTGCCTTTGAAAGGTCTAAATCATTTGTTATCTTTTATGCGCAGAACATCACTGACCTGAAAATGGTGCGTGGTTGCTGTTTCTGCGTGTATGGATATTGCACGAATTCCTGCTTTTGTTAGTGCCTGGACATTTTGCTCGCCAAGCAAATTGAGAGGTGTAATGACTATTTGCACACTTGTCGAGTCAAACAGCAATGGCATCCAAAACGTGAGTGTCTTGCCCTTGCCTGTGCCTGCCATGCAAATAATATCTCGGTCTCGAAGGAGAAAGGCTTCAGCAACTTTCAGTTGCCAAAGGCATGCCCGACGACCAAAGATGATCTCTGTCCTATGACGAATCTCCGAGAGAGATGGAACCGAGGGAGCTGAATGACTCAGAGGTTGGCGTTCCATGATGGGCAAGACTTCAGAACCAGAATAGATGATCTACGCATACCATAACCTAAAAATTCCATGATGTAAACCTGAGGAATTTCTTAGGTACTTCTATCAAATATTCCATTTGTTTCACAGTCCGCTGAGCACGGCGTGGTCTGCCGCTGTGGCTGGCGATTGTTTACAAGTGTTTTCTGCCAGCCGGCTGTGGAGAGAGAAAGAGGATTAAAGTTGTAGCTGAGTATGAATTTAACACTAGCACGTAAAATACACATATGCATGGGTTGTACCAGAAGACCACCTCTCTCTCTCGACACAGCGGTGGGAAGGAGCCTGCTTTTCGTCCAGCTTCGTCAAACGCAGAAACAGAAGGTTCATGTATAAGGAGTGAAGAGAGACATGTGCCGGCTTTTTCCGAGCGCCAATAAAAACTGGCGATAACACACACGTCACATGTCACAGACTGAGATGATCACCATCATGATATACTATCATTCCGGGTAATCTGCAACATGCATGCAATATGCAAAATGTTCAAAACACCTCAACGCACTGCTCAACTCACTTCAAAAAAATTCATGCATATGTAGACTACTTATATATGATGTACTGTCCAAGTAGAATGAAAATTTCTTGCGTGTTGCAGCTGCGAGGGATGAAATAGTGGTAATTTGTAACCATGCAGGAACATAAATTATCCAGATCCCATAGATCCTGCAGGTATATTCCTGAAGTTATACCTGGAGCACAACAATCACCTCGTCAGGATTACAGAACACAATTTCGATAAAGCTCATCCTGTCATTTTAAGATGCTATAGAGGAAGAATTGACGACATGTATGAAAATGTGACAGTAGATAGGAGAGTGTGTAACAAATTCAATCTCCTCTACGGCACACTCGGCAAGTGCACGAAGTCTTGCATTGTTGTCTCCTCTTGCATCATTCTCACATCCTTGTTACAATGGCACCAAACCGCAGGCATACTACCAGTCAGAAGAAAGCTGAAGAAGATGTGATTCGCGAAGCCAACTTCACTGCTGCTATTCAGGCTATCAGAGAGGAGAAGACCAAGAACCTTATTCAGGACCATATCACCAGTACACTCACAATAATTACATGAATCACGATACTTGATGATAATATATTGCTGTATTCATTATTTATCAGAGCATTAAGTTTCAAGCTTCCAGTTCGACGACTCAACGCCAACAGATCGAGAGCGCAGTGCGGAGAGTCAAAGTTGACTGTGCCGGTGCTATGCCGAGGTGTGACTCGACGTGACCATATTTTGCAGATTAGCAGTCAGATCCTGAATTTTCTCGGCTTTCATCCGACACCACACCACAAAATCCTAAAAATGAGCAAAAATAAGATCTATATAGAGGCGGTACGAATCTACAACACTCTAAATTCGTGGAAGATAATATGAAGTGATTGACGAGCTACAAAAAATTTGCTGAAAATGTTGCAGATTACCCGGAATGATAGTATCCTTGCTTGTCTACGACAGAAATTCCGGAGAACATCAAAGGGGAGTTTGTAGTTTGAATGGAAGCCACGACGTAAAGCCATGACATTTTTGTAACAAAGGGACGTGGCACGTCCCTTTGTTATCAAAATGTCGTGACTCGATACTAGGAAGTGGACAAGCAAAGGGCTGATAAGCATGCTCTAAATTTTCGCCTTTGACGCCAGCGCTCACCCACAGTATTCAAGCTGAATCTTTTATCCCTGGATTCCTTCATATACGGCGATGTAGACTGACTTACTACTGAAATCAATCGCATAGAATCCTCCTCGTCCGAATCTTCGCCGCTCGCGATTCAAGTGATTTATTAAGCACAGTTCAATCTGGGTCGGAGATTAGCACTGGTTGCAAAAGGCATCTCGCCCCTACCTTTACTGAAAATGAAGAATAACTGTCAGCTATACAAAAATCTTGATCTGGTAGTCAACAGCAATCAACCTTCGCGCCCCCATCAGCTCTCTATGCATGGCATAAATTATCGTTGTTTTAGACAAGCGATATTATTCTTGGCTTCCGAGCGACGGCGAACTTAAAGATCGTGCGTACGCTAATGATGGTGAGTAACTGAGATTCTTGTTGCTGGAGATCGTATCCCAAATGCACTGGTCTAAATCAAGCGACATCACTTTCTGATCTTCTCAGTCCCGTTCGGGACACTGTCTTGCTGTCCACCAGCGCAGGCAATTTAGGGATGCCAGTATCAAATATTCCATAGGTTACGCACGTGAGGCAGCGTACAAGGTTGCAAAGGACGAAAACTACCCAACAGTTGTAATCATTCGTCCAGATAGGATATTGCGGCAGGCCGGCGTCTGGTAGTGCTTGGCAGGATTGATCATCATGATATGCGAGGGACCCAGTCGGCATTTGATATTGACTTTGAAGTCAATGAATGCCGTATAATTGCATGTTGCTTGACGCTTAGCGAGCCTGCAATTGCATCCGATATGCAATCTTATCTTTGCGAGTATGACTAGTACTGACTCTTACGGTCCCGTTACACTTGTCTCACTCAATTAACCTCCGAGTCTGAAGTTACAAATAGTGAGTCTAAAACGAATATCGTGCTCTAGTGTATATATTCTGCAGGCTCAGTTCTTAACTCGACCCACATAGATAACAATCCACTACTGTCGGTATGGCTGAAGCGAACACCACAGTCCCACTCCCTATCGTAGATAACTCGGAACCTGCAGCTGCAGAGTCATCCCTTCCATCAATGGCCGTACCATCACCCGCACTGCAAGCTGCAAAGAAAATAGGCAACGTTTCTCCTCAGAAACCTTCTGGGAAAACCGTGGCTCAGGCGCCAGACGACAGTCCCATTCCGCTCTCGTTTCCTGCAATTTTGCGCAACCCAAAGCTCGCGGACCGATATGCCCACCTCCGCGAGCGCTCTGGAACTGCGCCCCCCAAGACCTCGATTTCTAAAGCGCGCCGAGACGAACACGAGGGGAAGCGCTGGATACGGAGGAGGGAAAATGGTGCGTCGTGTCGCTATTCACATGCAAGGCACACATTAACATTGTTCTCCTGTTCATAGCTAAATTTGCGGACAACCCTCATATTGCGCCGCCCTCGCGTGGTGATCATGCGGTACCAGTCCCCTTAAAGCTCTCCACCTTCCCCATCCCGTTACCACCGTATCTTCCTCGGTCATCTGTGCTACCGTCTAGCGTTCCTGGTTCTCGAGACCCTGCAAGTGCTTCTGCTGGGCTGTTTTCTCTATCACTGAAGGGCGCCCGACGAGCATTAAGAGCCAGACCAGGCACCCGGAATATAGTAGAGGCCATTGAGGGACATTTGTGCGCCTGGCTTGAGGGAGGGACGTACCCGGGAGAGGAGCAGGATATGGTTTTTCCTGGGGAGAAGGTGGGAGGGAGAGAAGATGTACTAGAGGTAAGCAGACGAGCACTTAGTCTTGTGTGGGTTGTTGGGAAGGATGGCGCGGATGGTGCGTTTGAGAGGTATGTAGTACACTGTCTGGCTCGGTGGCATGGGGCTGTTAGCTTCAGTAAGTGATTGACTGGGCTTCAGATATTTTGGTTAGCTGAATCATTTTTACGTAGGTAAAGAGGTCGACGGTCAACGCCTGACATATCTACTGCGACCTCAAGTCACACAAGTCGTGGCCTCAACACTCGACACACCCCCTGCGACAGACATTTCCCAAGTTGATACCGAATCAGATTTCGTGTCTGATATTCACACGTCTGACCTGGAGTCCGACTTTGCATCCGACATAGAACACGAAGCACACGCTGGAGAGCTCTCAGCAATTTCGGAGGCACCTTCATCCCCCACGGCATGGTCTGTGATCGGTGGATCAGACTTTGAATTTGACGAAGGGTTCTCTGCGTCTGTAGAGTCGCTCTCCCTAGACGTGGAAACTAATAATTTGGAGAGGACCCCACGCGCAACTGATGTGCGAGGAAACGGCGGTATATACATGCGGAATGCGCGCACCCGATTTAGCGCGTGGAACGAGCCTCGGAGCGGGTCGTCACCATCAAGGTCCCCTGCGAGGAGACCGCCACCTATGCGAAGGGCGATGAAGCAACAAGGGAAGAAAACGGGGAAGAAGGCAGGGAAGGGGACATTCTATGATTATCTATTTGCCTGACGTGGCGTTGAGGACCCTCTTTTTCTTGTCTGCTAACTAACGATCTATATCTATCTTGAGCTTGATTTCAGCTGGCATACTTTTGAGAAGATCGGTACCGGTTAGCTTTCAAACATGTGAAAAGGCTTGCTATGTATTTTAGAAACAGAACATTGTCTAAGTATACAATGATAGGGAACTGTGACCCGTGAGCGATATCACGGTCCGAGGTATGTTCGCCACGCTGTGTGGTGAATTTCATTCAATGATAGGACCTAGAGGCTCGAGCGACACCATCGCAGTGTCATGAATTTCATTCACTTAGTGCCAGTAGCAGAAGACAACAGACTATCCACAACACAGGAAATATTACATTTGTTCAAGTTGCGCAGGCAGCTTCGCAGAACAAACAACTCCGTCCCCTAGTTGTATGGAAATACTTCAGGTAACAGTGTTCAATACTAGTCTTCGGCCCGCAGTTTAGACATCTAATCAGGATCATGATTGCGCAGTCTATTGGAGCAGTATGCTAATTCTCACGCTGGACGGCACTTGGGTACTGATCCATTTTGAAAACTCCATCCCTTCGTGCTGGGACAAAGGGACTGGTCCTGGCCTCTGAAGCGTAACCGACGCAAGTGTTAGTCGTGGGAGACCCAGAACTAACGGAAGTTTATAAGTCGGGGCCGGTGCTATTAGTACCTAGCTTGATTTAGAAGCGAACCTGTGGCAAAACTTCAGGGGGACCGACAAGGGACCGACGTGACGACGGCCATATAGACTGCAGCTGTCAGTGCCATAGATACCGCATCGGCTTGCATAATTAATAGTGCGTTTCACGCTTCCCGGTCGACAATACATGTTTCAAGTCCTCTGATCACTATATAACCGAGCCATCACATCCAGTCGGCTTCCTTTGTACTAGTCCTCAGTATTTTTACCACAGCGACAACCCAACCCGGACAGTAAACATTATGGCCATAGAGGATATCTCCACGTTTCAACCACACAGCGCAATCTCCATCTCAAGCGTACATTCTGAATTATACCGCGATGTCAAAGTCTCCGATACCAGCCAATTAACTCGGCGCATTAGTCATGTCGAGGAATCGAAAGAGGAGAACGAGCAACTCCCTGTTTACCGCCTATATAAACGCCGCTTCGCTGGCCTTGTTGGTTTCGTGAGTCTACCAGATTTCGTGCTGTAACACCTTGTAATGCTCATTACGCCGTAGATCTTATTGGGCCTCGTGACCGGTATGCCCTGGGCATGGTTTGGGCCCATATCAACTGATGGTGCGTTCTCATCCTCAGTGCTAATATCTTACTTGATAGTTTCCAATAGCTGCTCGGGCCTTTCACATTTCCATCGATCAAGTGAACTGGCTTGGTAACATTATATCTTGTGTCTACCTCCCTGTCTCGCTCCTCGTTCCCGTTTTTTGCGCGCGCTTCGGCATTCGTCGCTGCGTGAGTCCCTTCTACTTATTGTGCTTCAACTAATATAGAGCTTTCCTAAAGGCTGAAGTCGGTGTAGTGACACTCTTCATATCAGGCTGGGTGCGCTATGCGGGCACCATCACGACCTTGTCCTCTGAGAGCGCTTATACGCTACTTATACTCGGTCAGGTGCGTACTTCCTTCTTGTCTATACCCATATCGCTCAATCGATCCTATCTGCACCGGCTCATCACATGCAGTTCCTCTCAGCAATATCCCAACCTATTTTCCAAGTCCTTGGTCCAAAATATTCCGAGAGGTGGTTTGACCTTAAAGGGCGAACTACAGCAACGATGGTGATTGCCGTCGGTGAGCCTCCTTCATCAAATCTTGATATCATAGCCTTTAACTGTGATCCCCCAGCCAACCCTGTAGGCGGCGCAATTGGTCAATTGCTTAGTCCTCTAGTCGGTACTGCAAAGCAATCTGTGAGTTCTCAAAAACTTTTCATTGTTGTGTGGCTGATAATATTCTGGGATAGATATTGGTCCTAGCGATCACATCTACTGTAGTTGCTCCGGCCCTTTTTCTCATCCAGAGTGAACCAAAAAGCCCACCTAGTACGTCCGGCATGCCGCATATTGTTTCCCATGTACCTGATACCAAGTTTCCCGAACAGCATATGCAGGCTCCAAGGCGCCACAATCACTCTACTCCCTCCTGTGTGCGATGGTCGGGAAAGTTAGCCCCGGCGACCCTGCTTACATGACTCCTCACGAACGGCTGGACTTCACCATCAATACGCTACTTTTTGGTGTACTCGTTGGCGCGTGAGTGTTTTTACCTAACTTTACGAACGCGCATACGAGACTTGTACAGGGCAAACGCACTCAGCATCCTTTCTGCGCAATATTTTGTAAGTCTTTTTTCTCAGCACCAAACATCATCACCAAATATGGCACAGGAACCTGAGGGGTACAGCGACGCCATATCAGGTCTTTTTGGTGCAACCCTCCTACTTAGTGGGGTCATCGCCGGTGTCTTCACTGCTCCTCTGTTTGATCGGGTATTGACCCACCATCTGGGCATAACACTAAAGATTCTTGTCCCGATTGCTGCAGGAGCATGGTTGAGCTTAATCTGGGCTGGTGAGTGTAGCTCTATTCACTTCATAGACAAATTCCCTTTTTGTGCAGTCTTGTACATTGATCCGTAGCGAATTGATGTTCTTTGTGATTTGCCGTCGATCACTTTCCATACATCTCGTCTTTGATACCATACACGTGAGCTGATCCTCCCCCAGTCAAACCAAATAACACCGGCGGTCTCTTCGCGATCATGGCTATCATTGGTATCTGCTCCCTGATCATGCTCCCAGTCGGTCTCGAGTTAGGAGCCGAGGTTACCCGAAATGCAGATGGCAGTGCCGCTATTTTGTGGTGTGCGTAAGTCCCCTTTCCTTATCTATTATGCCCCATACCTTCATGCTCAATTGCTGCCCTCCACAAGAGGCAACGCATTTGGCATTATATTCATAGTCGGTATGTCTCACCCACCCCAATTCAGCGATGAGTTGCATTCCTGACATCCTTTGTGTGTAGCGGAAGGCGCTCTCCGCGCATCGGCAACTGCATCCCCGCCATATAACATGCACGCAGCGTTCGTGCTGCACGGCGTGATAGTGATGGTGGTTGGCGCGAGCGTGGTGTTCGTGCGCGCAAAGCAGGCACGGCGGGAGATGGACGAACGCATGGCAAACCGGCATGTAGAAGCGGTCCCGATGGATACATTAGGCACGGCCTCTTCAGGTCAGTCCATCAGGTCGATAGAAAAGGAGGAGAGCGGATCGATACAGGGTAAAGGTAACTTGATACCGTTGCCTGACAAAAGAGATGATGTCAGGGTGGAGGAGATCGGGATTATCACACGACCACGTTCATGATATTTGCTCCTCGGGTGTTTAGACCTACACGGTGTTTAGATCTACATCTCTGCTGTTGTTCTGGGACTTTGAAAATAGTTGTGTATACTTACCTATATGGCGCAACCTAACTTATAACCATTCGTTGACGACTTTCCATGTGCAGAACTGAGAAGATGTACGAGAAGCGCATTCCTTTATTTATTCGATTGAATGCTTGTCCCATTGTTGGTGTCTCGTGGGACCTGCAGCTTCAGAAGTTTCGATCTGCGCTTCTCCAGGGCTGCTAGTCCCCCTGTCTCGCCAGATTCCTTCAGCGTTGATCTCGCAAGACAGATCTTGGTATTATTAACTTGCATTAGTAGCAGTTGTTTCAAGGGCTTGACATTAACGAATGGAAATCATGATATACCAATAAAGTTCATCTCTCGCTGTCCCTCTTGAAACCCTGGAAATACTTCTCTCTGAAATCCTTGTGCGCAGGAACGTGCGTATCCCTGCTCTCTTCCGCTTCCCCCACGGGATCAAAAGATGGCGGTAGGTAGTCGGTATGCGCGGTCTTCTTTATCGTGATCAGCTATTCAAGTGCATCAATACCACAGGCATCCCGAATATAATGAGGCTTATAACTTACCCTCCGCCCCCAGCTTCCAAAATCCTGCAAACTATTCGCTACAAGTTCCATCCCCTCGCACAATACCGCGTTGATATCGGGTGGGGCGTACTCGTCGCTCACCGTAGGCAGGAAGAACACGAGACGTCCGCCTGAGCGGAGGAGATACCGTGCAAGGAGAACGAGATCGGCGATGAGTTGAGAAAGCTCATAGGGCTTCGTTGGGGGTATGTAAGGTTCATTTCTATGTTAAATATCCTGATGAGCCTGACGAATATTGGAAGCAAAGAACTTACGGTCGTGGAATGGCGAGTTGGAGCCGATCTTCACGGATATTTTTGCGCCCGAGACGTTTTGCTCCTGCGCGAACACCGTCTGCAATACGCCCTTGTTAGAGGAACCGGTACTGTCGATTAGAAATGTGCATACACGGTGGGTCGGCTATGATGGCGTCAAAGAAGCTGCCACAACGCCACGGATGGTTTGTGACATCAAACGTGCAAAGATCCATGATACGGGAGGCTACGCCGTATTGTGCAGCAGCCCGAACGATACCTGGAGTTTCATCTGTGGGACGGTGTTGGTACACAAACATACTTGCAACGGTAAATTACATGCCCTTTCCACGCATTTGTCTCCCGTCGATATCCGAACCGTAGACAAAAGCGCCGAAGTAGGCTGTCGTCTGATGAAATTGTCAGGGCTAGCTGGGTGAAGTACAGTTGACCAACATATGCCATGCTACCAGTGCCAATGAATGGGTCGTAGATCAGTTTACCAGGGGATGCCTAGCGGCCGTGTAAGCTCAATCACAAGCAAGCGCAGGACAAACATACTAGTGTCTGATTCGCCATTAAGAGCGAAATCTCTGCCTCCATGCTGGTGTTTCCGAAGTACTGGCGTTTCTTGACGTCGAAGGTTCCAATCAGTGAGCGTGCAGTTCCATCTACGACCTAAGGATGAATAACGATTCAGCTAATGAACAGGTAGAAGGTGTGCGAAACCCACCAACCTGCCGAAGTAGACTCGGGTGAATTCCCCATCCTTGTGCAGTCCACCATCGGGTGCTCGGCCACTCTCATCTGGTGATCACGCACAAATTTTAGTTTAAATTACATAAAGGTATGGAGAACATACACTCTTCAAAAACTGCGAGAGTAACTTCTGGGTTCTTCATCTCAATCTTACCCAAGAAGTCCATGTATGCGAAGCTTTCGATGATCTGACGCTGGCGACGTTGGCTGATGGTAAAATTGTATCCTAGGACACAAAATTTGAACGATGTATCTGGGATATATCGCTCCCATTGCGGACGAGCTCGGCTGTTTTGTTCATGCAGCACCTCGTAGGATGCACCCTCGGCGTAGAACTCATGAACAGACCTGATTGAACATCTTTTGAGCAGACATTCGGTAAATATTATAAACACACACTTTATCAGGATGCATCTCTGAGCCAAGATATGTGCATACTCTTCCTTGTCCAGCATCAGAATCATGAATGGTCGTTTGATGGCCTTGTCAAGGACGTTGGCGTAGCGATCAAAGCCTATAGTAAAGCCGTGAAGCTCAGATATCGAGAGGAGCTCTGGCACGCGGAATTCTTCATGTGATTGAGCGAATACAAAGAGGTACTCCATTATTGGATGATCTGTCTGGAAGATATCATTTCCAAAATAGGTTTATCTTTGAGGTGTTGTTTGGCAAGAGCTTTTGATCCAAACATGCAGTCACTGATCAAAACATTGCCTTGAACTTATTTGTGGAACAACTAGCTAAGGTACTAGCAGCCTGTATTAAGGTACAAGGGGGTTTTGACGATGCTTCATATGTTATGATTAGACGCACCACCACCCATCCCGTCCACCGCCTCATATACGGCCCTACAACCAGGTCATATGAACCTCTGGCGAGGATACATCGCAAAGAAAGTATCATTTACGAGATTCCACTCTTGCGTCTCCCAACCATCCAGAGCAGAAATTGCTCGTGAATAATCCCATCCAAACCCAGCTGCATGAGGGAATCGGCTGTGAGCAAAGCTGGACATGCGCTGACTTGCTGCACTTGAAACCAGGGACAATCCAACCCGAAGTTCACGAAGCGCACTACATCAGGAAATCAACCCTAACTTGATATGACCAGATATAATTGGTAAAATCAAATCAAAAATACACTAAATTATATAAGATTATATACAAAGATAAATCTTGATACAAGCACAACAAATAGCTATTGAATGAACAAGGATTACAATAAAACTGACATTCTGATGTAGATATATCATATCTTACAATTGATTGCAATAAAACCAACATTCTGATGTTAGAAATATCAAGTCTTATAATTAATTGAAAGAAACCCAACATTGTGATGTAGATATGTCAAGTTTTACAATTGTATCAACAATTCTCTATCAATTGGTCTCCACTACCAACACTTGCATGATATTGCACGAGCCATGTCACATGACAAATGCTTAGGTAAGTCTGAGTTTGAAAGTTTTCACCAACTTCGACACTTGTCTTCTCTTGTTTCACCACACTCAAAGTGCACACTTCTGGCTCTTCAAGCCAATATCCTCTCCTCTCTCTTTTTATCCCCTCATGGTGGTACCTCTGGCCCTCTATGGTGATTTATCCTCCTTCCTGGCCCTCCTGGCTCCTCCCTGGCTCCTCCTTGGCCCCCTCCTTCCTGGCCCTCTCTGGTCTCTCTCTGATCCTCTTCCTCCCTGGTCCCCCCCTGGTCCTCCCTGGTCCTCCTCCTTCCTTGTCCCTCCCTGGTCCTCCCTGGCCCTTCCTTATGGTATCTCCCTTGAGTCAGGTAACTGACATCTCTCTTTGTCTTCTAGTCATATCATGTCTCTCTACTCTCTTGTATTGTTACTACCTGTATATACCCCAATCCCAATTAAAATTTGATTTAATTTATAAAATGATAAAATGAGTACCAAGATTGAGATTTTATAGTAATTTTTTGTCAATTTTGTTTGAAGTGATCTGGCATTATAAAACTTTATCAAGGATGGGAGATATTTGCAATATGTGTCATAATTGTGTCTTTGGTGATTTTCCCCAGTGTAACCTGCCTATCTAAAGGTTTGTCAAGCTGAGTGCAATTATGATGGATATTATATCAATTTTATGCTAGGCAAAGCTTTATAAAGCTATATCATTCTCAGGTCAATTGCCTGATGTAGATGACAGTCCTTCGTTCGAGTGATCTAAATGTGCGCTGATGGCAGCAGTATGAGATGATGCACCCTGGGTATTGGTACGTCTTTCTTGATTTTCGTATAATGTTGCCAGATCTTCTGATTCTACCTCTCCATTGGAATCCATATTCAGGTCATCACCAAACCAGTCCTGGGCATTGAACCATATTCCTAGAGAAAAGAGTTTCTCACACCGGCTGGCCAGGAGCACAACTTTGGCCAGAGTAGGTCCCTCTGATTCCCATATTTCACTGTCATCATCAATATGTGTGTCTTTCTCTGTGCCACTTCTCAGCCATTGCAACTCTAGTTCCTTGATATCATTCCATGCCTGAGGAATGGTCTCTAGGTCATCTCTGCAAAATGCTGACATCAGCCCGCCAATAGCATGACCAGCAACTACTGTATCCATGACATTGATCTTGAAGCTATGTAAGGCATGTAGTGCGAATAATGGAGATATCATAGAGACTGGAACTCCTTGGCTGAGTGGTACGGGGTCAAATGGCTGTGAAAAAAAATTCTCTGCTGTGAATTTGAAGTTTTTGATATTGATGAACTTCAGCCGATCTTTGTTGGTCTGGTTGGAAGACAATAGTTCCACAATCGAGTAGAAGGCAAGGACCGACACAGGTCCATCTACCCACAGCACAAGGTCCTCTATCAAATAGGAGCCAATAATTTCCAAAATCACTGTGGTATGTTCCACAGTTGCTGTGCACAGCCTAAGCTTCTTGAGGGTGCCAAACCTCCTAGAATATGGGTTATCCAGAACAAAACCCTGCGAAAGTGTCTTAAATGATTCGTCAAGACCCAAAACCAAACTGAAACCCACCTCTTCAAGGCAAGGCATCCTCCCAAGTTCTTTGACAATTTCTGCAGATACCGTCAGCCTTGGAAGATGAGTGTTCCAGGGATCATGTTCCAACAGCATATCCACAACCTTGAGGAACAGTATAGTTCTGCCCACTAGAGAATACGGGCGCGTGCAGTCCAACTGACACCATTGCAACAGAACGCAGAAGAGATGTGAACTTGCTCCAGCATAGAGCATTTTGCTGTGAGGCAGCCTAGTGCAGCACCTAAAACTGACACCGGAATCCCCCTGGGGCAAGATTTTACCATCAAGGATTGCAAGCCCAGAGACCCTTCAACTAGCAGTTGAAGGCATGATAGTAGATGCATGAACTTCAAGGTGGGCAAGATTTGGAAGAAGAGGTGAGGGACTCTCTGCTAGCAGCTTATAGTATGCCATGCAAAGGATCCCATTAAAGCAGGCCTGCCGGACACAAGAGCCATAATAAAGCATCCTATCCCACATCAAGCAATGTAGAGCACAAGTAAGAAACTAAGGTAATAAAACATTTAATGAATGTTTCAGGGCCCAGACATGATGATGTACTTACTGTGACCCATGACGAAAGCCTTCGATTGACAAGCAAAGCCTTTTCAATCACAGATGATGGCAACAGAAGAACAAGTGACCAGAGCATTTGTTGATTTTCCCAAAGGAGGTCAACAGCCAGTTCGTGGATTGAGTGACTAGTACGCGCGAGAGCTGATAAAGTGCCCAAATTGCGTTGCTGTAGAAAAGAGAAAATATGACGAAGGACATCATAAGGAAAGCGTTCGAGGACCATTTTCAAAAAGAGTTGTACGAGAACTTGGACAAGTCTGCAACAAGCCAGCAGTACTTACTTGTTGGCATTTATGCTTACCACTAGGACCGCGCTGTTTGGCAGTAACCTTGGATCCAAACAACCACAATAAAAATGTTTGAGTATATTATGTAAGTGAATAATCACCTGGCTATGAATTACTCTAGTCAATGATGCCCATTGAAGCACTTCAAGGTTCACTACACCTTAGGCATATTCTACAAGCGAGCATCCAGGTGTTCGACTCGGATGAAGAGAGCTGTATGCCCTCTCAGATCTCTTCTCTCTCACAGCAGGACGCTCACAAACCCCACATGTACTAGTTGAAGGAGGCATTGAAATGCTTCGCGCTGTCCTCCCAGACACGATGATTATAGCTGCTTTGGACATTATTGATCGCGAAGGTGGTGAGTGATACTTACATGCGCTACAGATTTTGCAGCTGAATGACGGGCTTTCAGTCATGAAGTACAAGACTTCTTGGGGCCGGCACCACTACGAAGTTCTGGGCACTACTTCAACATACACCGTCTTTCCGCATCTCGGCGTTGCATCTACAGCTGTGTCTAGCTACTGCACCTGTCCATCATTCGCTTACGCGGTGTTAATATCCGAGAACCATCTTATGGTGCGAATTTACATCTTAATGGTAATCGCTTGATGAATGACGCCGCTGGCAGTGCAAACATGTCTTGGCAGTTTGCCTTGCAGATAGGTGGTCTCGTTGTGTTGTGCGCCCTATCGAAGATGATGACTTACTGTTGAAATTTGCGGGACATGTCTCTTCCTAGACGTTCTGCTTACAATCCTCGATCGCAGACATATGTTCACTTCTATCAGAGGCCTTATAGAAATAAGGGCCATCCGAATGCACAACATGTCAGACTGCCTAGTTCTTTGCTTTTCGATCGCACGGTCATCACCGTGAAGACTGAGGACCTCGTCATGCTCTACGATAACACGTAGCACAGGAATACGACATTTCGGTACCATGTGGACATGGAAAAAATGCCCTCATCGAGTTCGATCTTGGTTATTCCATAAGCATTCGCAGCGTGAAGTTGAACCGCATCCATGACACCGCAGTTTATATCAGTCAGGCCATTAGCGGGGTTCGAGCACCCAATTGTCGATCGCACATTCCAAGCACCAATAGCATCCCGTGCAATAGTCCAACGGCGCCACGAATGCAAATCGTTTAAGAATCACGACATCAGCTCTTTTCTATCCTGAAATCCGTTGGCACTCGGAACGCCAGCTGTTATCAGCTTCACTGCAGAAATTATTGGACGTGTGAGGGATTGATGGCTCGTTAATTTGGAAGAAACGTGACTGCGCTCTCCAAAGAGTTGGGGGTGACTCTGCTCACAATCAGCACCTCTACTACTGACATCCGTGTTTCCGTGTTATCATTGTCGGGCGTGGGTCCTGGGACTCTTGTAACTACCTGGTTTCTTCGTTTGCAGAGGGCTAGGTAGCATGATACTCACTAAACCTGCGAGAGCGGCCCCTCAGTTTATGGGGATTCGGATTATTTGCTGTGACAGTGTCCGAGTCGGGAGATCATCAAATTTCACCATTGAAACATGTCAGATATGGGCTTTTCTCGACAATATTTGGCTGTTCCGAAAACCGGTGACTAATTCGTTGATCGTCATTGGATAGATAGTCTTGGGGCTTGCTCAGGCCTTTGTAAGGGGCAAGGAATTATCAAATGGGGACACGGAGAGTGCATACCAAGTGTATTTTTTCCTCAGACCAGTAGAACTAAACCTAGTCAGCGCAGTACTGCAGATTTAGATACATGTCAGTCTTTCCCCCAAAAACAAGAAGTACACTGCAAGATATAAACGTGAGGACTGAGATGGTTTGTATTGTGAAATATGAGCGCGTGAACTGCCACACTGAAGGAAAGAGATGTCCGAACTCCAGGCCCCGAAACGGGTCACTAGCTTGTCATGATGGTTCACAATACTAAATGGCTGGCATATAGCTCCTCGCTCCACGGGTTATCAACTGGAAAAACAAAGCAAATCTGAGCTGGCATCGACTTTGTACCGCAACTAGTGGTATTTTGCCAAATCGTCTTGCTTCACAAGTAGATCTACTGGCATTGCATATTGCGTGTTCGAAAACAGACTTCAAACTGATAGGTTCTTCCTGCGTCACCCGGGCCATAAAGAATGATATTCAGCACATAGTATAACAAGTCGTCTTTCTACTGTCCTGTTCAGATCAACTTGACACCACATCACATCCTCACAAACAATGCGTTTCTCCTCTGTCCTCGCAGTTGTTGCCGCTTTGACAGCATCAGTATCTGCCAGTCCCACTGCCGTTGATAGTGCCGGAGGGTGTCCTATATTGTGCTCAGATTACCCCTGTTGCGCTGGGCAGAAATGTGTGCCGCAGGGCATATTTGTTGTGAGTATGAGTATTTTGTGTCCACCACATGACTCACCGGCGTGGTAGATCCTCTGGGTGTGTGTACTAGATAACTGAGTGCCATGTCGCGATAATGAACTACGGTGAGTCACGTTTCTACTTCAACTAGCATCGGTGCAGATGACCTGATGGCACGACGTGTGAATTGCTAGTGATTTGATGTTGAGTTGATCAATGTCTTGCTTCTGAACAAATTTCACTGCCACTCGAGCAATGGGGATCTTGGAATAGGGGAAATCTCAAATACTTGAATACATAGAATATGACTGAAGTACCTAGGAGTTTTGCAGTCTCGTTGTAAGCTTGAACATAGAAGCCCTCGATGCCAGTGGCATCGCAGGTCCTCTCCTCATGGGCGCTGTTTACTATAATGCATCTTCGGCCTGCAGTTGCCCGCTGAGGTGTGTCACGATCCATGATAGTGGTATATATGGAAAGTCGTCATTGTCAAATTGCGAAAGCTCAAGATCCAGAAATGGCACCTGGACGCTGTGAGTGATCTATGCACTTTCAACCATTCGTAAGCGTACGCAAGTGGGGACATTGACGGAGCGCTGCAAATAATCCACGAGATGCAAGCTAGATTTTCGAGACATTGATATCTCTGAAACGACAGTGAACCCGGGATTTCAAACGTGCGTGACCATGTCGGAGAGGATTTCGGGGAGCCTGATGCGGCATCGCTTGGATGAGTGGTTCCACAGAACAAACACAAACAACCTTTCAAATTGGTTTCGGCCCAAGAGGTCCTTCAAGTTATTGACGTAACCTTGGGGGGTCAAAATGGCTCCTGTTGGGTTCAAACTAACCTTACTGCAGCGCGCCGTGTGGTCCATTCCATTCCTCTGGATAACTAATGGCAACTGGTCATAGCACAAAATTTGGATCTGAATCAGCAACCAATAATTTATTTTGCCTTCAAGGAGGTCCAGTGCCATATCATATCTGGGAAGAAATTTGTAGTTTACTGGTGCGTCTTATCTATCACTTCTCAATCGCACGAAAGCTACGCCAATTCCACCGATGTTTTCCTGATGGCGCATTAATCAACTCCACACACTACTAATAACTTGCGCGTCAGTGCCAACGGTCATAATGCCCGATGTGAAAGCAGATATACGACTCACCATGCAGACAATAACGTACTGCAATGCAGGTGAGTCATGTTATAAAATCCAGGAAAACTACTGATACTCACGCAAGCTGCGATCGAGCAGCCAGCACAAGCTGAGTTCTCTTTGCAAAACCAGGGACATTTATCTGCGACAGCCGTGTCAGGAGCTTCAGCTGGCATGGCAGAGATTGATGGTGAGGCTAAAACAGCAACGAGGGCGATGACAATTGCAGAGGAGAAACGCATTATTGTCGACTCGTGATATCGGATTAGATGAAGATAGCAGAAAGTCGGCTGGCTTTTATGTGCTGTAAATTCTTGCTTGGTTGTGCCTTCAAACAGATGCATATCTGCGATGCCAGCAGATCATCGATCATTGCTAGTCAAGATTGGAACCGCTGTCTACTAAACGTTCGCGTTTCCAACTAGCTGTTGGCTCGGTACCAAAAGCAATCAACATCTTGGAGTCATCTTCGCACCAATATCGCATAGCTTGACGAACGTGTGTTTTGGAAACTATGAAGATATCTCCTTTAGCAAAAGGCAGGTAAAGTGCTGCTCAATATACCACTGACCAGTAGCAACCAAATCCACGCCAAACCCATCCTCTGACTGATGGTCTTCATCTGGTTCAAGGATGCCAAGTTCTTCAACTTCCACTTGATCATCTTCAGCTTGTAGCTAGTCCTCTTCGTCGCAGAACGGCCATTCAGCCTCAAAAGGCGTATCGTCTCGTCATGATTGATAATAGGTATGAGTGAATTTATCCGGCTTCTTTACCGCATGGAGTTTGATTAGAAGCTTTTCGGCGATGGTTTGTTTTTTTTGCCATTGAGACAAGTCGGGGAATGAGGTCGACAAATTTGTGGGTCGTTAAATACTTGTTGACGGTAAAATCATATTCCCTGTGCAAATTAGTGACAAGATCATATGGGGACTGTCCTATACAATTTAAAAGCACGAGGTAAGTATGGCCTCCTTCAATTTGCCAAGATCGATACTGCGAGATGGTCTGGTTAGTTACTCGATGTAACGTTGGTGTCATCACGTCGTGTACTCCCCCGAATCCAATTTCCATCGATGCCTCCCTCTACATCTCTGCAACTTTAATATGTTCATGTAATCGTCCAAAGTCCCCCGACCCCATACAAATATTGAATATTGAGGAGGTACACCTGAGCTATTAGAGACTTCAATGTTGCACCTCCTATAGTAGGTTCCAATGTAACAGCACAGCTTCGGGACGTTGCATCTGAAGTTCTGAACGTCCCGTCTTCGTTTTTTGATGATCACACGAAGATACCACTCCAGATCAATTCTACACTATGTACATGGAAACATGGAAACGCAGGCTGCTATCAGGTTGCGTAACTTCCCTCTCGATCGATCGTTGCTTGCCATCTTTCGATGTTTCTAGCCATCCCTCTGGACTAGTTCCCTCTTCGGCATAACGCATATTTGCATCTTCATCCCTCGGCTTCGTCGCTCCGGTCTGCACCGCAGTTTTCTGTCTCGAGGTTGTCCCCTCTTGTACAGAGAGTGAGGTCTCGGGGGTCGTACTATCGGGGCATCTGCGTCAGGATGACGTTCGTGAAGACTTGATTGGATGTGAATGGTTGGTCGAGATCGACTATTTCCTCTGAGCACATGCGGTATAAGAAAATCACGATCACCAGGATGTTGCAGATGAAGAGACTGAAGGCAGCCTGGTTTCCGTCAGATTTCACGGAGTAGTGCGAGGACGGGAGCGTACTTACTTTGATGTACGCCAAGATGAGCGTGGTCGACGTGTGCCCCATGGAAATGTTTATAGAGTGGAAGATGGTGATGGTGGTGATTAAACTCAGGGATGTGCCGAACGCAGATTGGACTAATATTTGTCTGCTACGCGAGAGCTCCACTTTGGTCCAGAGATACAGCGGCGTAGCGACAATGAAAACATCTGCGATGGCGTCCGCTAAGAAAAAAATTGAAGACCATCGTAGCCACAGAAGGTACGGAGGTGTACTGACCGATAAGTTGCAAGAACGCCACCGACGGCGACATTATGCACGAGTGAAGTTTGCACGCGCTCATCTTCTGGGCGATCAGCACGGCCCACATATACGCAAAGGACGCTGCAATGAGATACGTGATCTGTTTGTGTATCTTGCAGCCGGAGTGGTTGGTGATGCGGATGACGGAGAAAATGATGTTCATGCGCGCAGCCCTGGACCAGCGAGTAAGATTTAAATGTAACTGAGTGAGCTGTGATGCGTACCACAGGACGGAGGTGAACGTTATTGAGAGGATCCAGGCTGATAGTGACATGAACATCCGATTAATATTGGAGTGCGAAGTCAAGCACTCACAGGTTATCTTTGGGTCGAGCCAGAGGCACGCCAAGCAAAGAACTGGGAAGATGTGGTTGGTTATTCGAACAAGGTAACACACAATAAAAACTCTATCATCTGCTATCAGTGCAACTGTAGCCCATGCATCTTCCCACTAGAAGTGACGCGTCCAAGCTCTGTAAACAAGCCTGGCGATGGTGCAGAGTATAGCAATGCTATACGACACCAACCCCGCGACTTTGTATGCGATGATACACATAAGAACACAACATATGTACTAGCTCCTTGCCATTCCACTCACCGATCAGGCTAGTTGAGTAGTAGAATGATGGTGCCATCAGATGTGTCTGGTGGACATGGAAAGGCGAGCTTCAGACACACATTTTAAAGACTAGCCTTATATGTGATACAGGAAGACCCCTTGCAGTATTACATGCCTCCATGACAAACTTTTACACAACAGTTTTAGCCAGTGAAGATAACGTGCAGGGTTACGCAGACTAACCTAGCTCATAACCTGTATAGCGCCCTGTGGTGCCTGTTATGCAGATAGGACATTATGTCACTGTTTTCGGTAATAAAAATCAAATTTATCGTCCTTTGGACCCTATGTCGAACGACATGCTAAGCCCTATTCGAATGCGGGGGGATATCATACCACTTAACCATACCTACCTTCATGATACGAACTGTCACTGATCAGAAAATGACGGATAAGTCCGAGCAGGGATGCTCTGCGGTGACCTGGCCTTCATGCATGGAGCTATACCATTTCGCGAACCTGTGCTCAGGCCGCGTTACGCATCAAATAGTAATTGAATGGTCAACTGATATGATCCTAGAACTTACCCAAGTACTAATAGCCTGTCAAGTTGAACAAGTTGTAGGTGCAATTGGTCCCGGAGAACGTCTGGATTCTGGAACAATTGAGGGTACCTACTCTGACATGCCACTAGATATCAGCCTTCGGATCACGACCCCCAAAGGGCCTTTGATAACGATGCACTAATAACGCAAGTGATCTGATAATCTGATTGTCACGCGTGAGAAGGCCTATGATCATGGTATGTAGAGGATAGACTCGGAGTCGTGCTTGCTAGCTTGATACTTGTAAGTTGTCATGGCATCGATGAGTGAGTCGAGGCGATAATAATTGTTCTCGATGTCATGGTGTTTTTATCCTCGAGTTATCCGCGGCACACATCTCAAAATCAAAGCTCCACGAACCATCCCCGAGTTCCACATTCTTGAGTCACTGTCCAGTGTCAAGGGCCAACGAGTATTCTGCGGGCAGTAATAATTTGAGGTAAGTGCTGCGCAGTGTACTAGGCTTTTTGATCGCACACTTACTTGATGAGGCTCCAACCAACCAGCGCGCAGCATGAAATCATGACCGTCGCCGAACAGGCAGGTACTACCGTACAATGTAACCTTGTCTTGTAAGGTTATGCCAGGTCCGCTGTCACGGCCGGTCGTGAACAAATGACAAGAGTTGTCAAACAGTTCCAGGCTTTTCGCTAAATCTAAGACGGGTTCCTGCAGTCAACCCTTATAAGTATTCAGGCGCCTCAGTACCGAAGGCACTCAATGTTCCAAGCTCGTAATTTGAGTCTTTAACTAAGGTATTATACGGCAGCTTCGCCCAACACTATGTAGCAGGATAGCTATCGATGTTCTATGTCTAAACGTGAACAGAAAAAATCAGTATCGAACAACATGCCGAAGCCTGTATAATGTAAAATATAATCAGGTGTATCGCTGTCTATGCGAGGCAATGGAAAGTCGATTAATTAACTAAAAAACGATAGCGGTGGAAAGAGGGCAGCAGATGCGGAATCTCGTAAGATATAATGAATGGGGACAAATGGTTGAGCGAGGCAATTAGTTACAAGGGAGTAAAGCTAAGATGCCGACCAATTATAGGACGGAGATAAACGAGGCATGTTACAGAGGGAGAATGAAGCGATGGAAATGTGCAAAGCCAATTAGAGGGCAAGCGAAATAGTGCGTGAGCGGTCCAAAAAACGCCCCGGCCTATGCATACGCTCGATTCTTCAATAGCACAGCATACGCTCGGAGTTCACGGACGAGTGACTGGAGCTGCGGCGTACGGGGAGTGTCATCGAAGTCTATGAGTGAATCTACATCCATATCATCATCCCGCTTGTCATCACTATCCTCGCTCTGATCTTCGTTGCTGGACTCAGATTCATCGGCCTCGGATGACGAAACCATTTCCTCATTAGCTAAGAGTGAGGCGGCAAATTTTGAGGCTTTGCTAAGTTTATTGGAGGACGAATTAAAGGATGAAGCTGCAGTGGAAGTGGATGCTGACGCGTGGGTATTTGAAGATGAGATCACATGGGACGGCGATGCGGACGCTGCACGAGAAGGTAAGGCTGATACAGGTCGCGGTTTTGACTTTTCCGAGGAGCTGGAACGCGATTCAAGTCCAGCTTTCCGCTCGACCCACTCCGCAAGCTTGAAGATTTCTACGGGATCTGAGAAGGCGTACCATCTGGGACGTTCGGTCTTCGTCTTCTGTGGCTTCTTGCTCTTGTCCTCGTCCTCATCCGGTTCAGAATCAAGGTCGAACTCGAACTCGGAATCGTCTTCTGAGCAGCCCTCGTCCTTTGGCGGATCTATTCTCTCTTCGACACCTGGCCGCACGCCCCACACAGCTATGAACCAGTTCCATCGTTTGTGTGACGCACGTTCTAAAAGGGAGGGGGGATTCCATGGTGATCTCGACTTGGATTTATGGCTCTTGGTCTTGGCGCCTTCGTCCTGTCCCCCAACTTCGATATTGGAGGTAAGGTACTCGCGTGAAGTATCTCTCTCTCCTCGTCCTGGCGTCAGAGCCCAGTATACCCTGCCTTCTGAGTCCCGACCTAGTGGTATAATGCGTTGGGCGCAGGAGGATAAGGCGATGGTCAGGGCCATCTGGGGGGTCAGTGTATGCGTTGGTGTGCCTTCTAAGTCCCTCGCATCCTCGTCTCTTTCCTGAAAATCGACACTGCCTTTCTCCCTTTCCTTTTCCTTCTCCTTGGCACTGATGCCTCCTTTCCCCTTCGTCTTCTTGTCTTTGGCTTTCATATTCTTGGCCTTCTGCTCCTTCTCTGCTTTCTCCTTCTCCTTTCTCTCTTTCTCAGCCCGATCAAGAGTTCTCTTCATCTCTAAACATTCCCTCGTCAATTCTTTCGCGTCTTTTGCGCCTTCCTCTAATGCATCCCTGACCGCCTTTCCTTGAGATGCATGGTCTACGAGGACACTGACAACAGGTATGAGTTGGGAGGTGCGGACTACTTCAGGCCAGTCCGTTCCCTTGCACATCTCTTTAGCATGAGACGAAGTGCGAGCGGAACGGGTTCTAATGATGGGCGCGTTCTGAAGGAGGTGCTCAGGGGCGGGCGTGGGAGGCGGGAGAGCGAGGGAAGGAAGTGTGCTCAAGGTGCTTAGAGTATTGACAATCTTGAAGAGGAACGCCTGTTGATGGAGCGCATTGGCAGTTGTGGAGAGGATCTGTTAGGGGAACCAGAATAGTGAGTGGAAATGAGGGGACGGAGAAGACTGCAACACACCTTAGCGTCTACTTCTATCATGCCTAACAATGCAATGAGTAGTGCTTTCACGCATCCCTCTGAGACCCAAGGTTCTAGATCACCATCCTCTTCGTCGTCGTCGTCAAAATCTCGTTGAGAGCGGGAGAGAATCTCGAGCTCGTCGTGGTGTGAACGTGACAGGGGGAGGAAACGAAGTGCAAATTCACGGATGTAGATGCGGGCTTCTGCTCCCTGTAGGGAGAGATGAGTACGGACTGGTGTCCAAAGAGCTTTGGGAGGGGGTTTCGGGGCTGGAAGAGGTGCAGCAATGGGTATATGCGCGGAGTTCTTGGTGGATCTGGATTTGGAGTTACTGATTGCACTTGCAGTACGCTGGAGTGCGGATTTGGCTGTTCTCGACTTCTTCTCAGCGACAGGTTTACCTGCCATCGGGCCCTGTACACTCGTCAACATTAGGAGGTTGGGACTGATATAGACACATACAGCCGCAGTTGGATCTTGCATAAGAAGTTCTGCGGCTGACTGGAGCCCTGATTTACGCGCTGCGACGGTGAGGTTCCTATACGGAGATAAAATTAGTGAGGTCGTGGCGTAACGCGTGGTACGCACCCCGTGGGCTGAAGGCCCTTTGCCTTTCTGCAGTGAACGCAGTTACAGGTCTCCTCGCATCGGGGGCACCTGAACGAGCCCAAGCAAAGACGGAAAACCACGCATATAGTTAGTGCTAAGTGGAAATACGAACATTAGAGTCACTACACACTTGAAAAAGTACCCCCCGCCCGATACATGCCGTTTTTTCTCAGCTGCCGGGACAGTGCTGGTGGACAAGATGTCCTGAAGCGTAAGTCCATAGCGGTTCTTGAGACAGGGGCCGCAGTACTTGGTGTTGCACCGTCGCTTAGATTTCGCGTCTTCACGCGTGCATTGGATGGTAAGAACTGCATCGCGCTTCTTGCTACATTGATGACAATAAACAAAGCCGTTTGGGAAGTCGGAGGTAGCGTTCGAGAGGAGACGACGCGTAGCGGTTGGCTTGATAGCTGTAGTTTCGATCTTCAATTTCTTTACCGGCTTGTCGAGAGTTTCGTCCGATTTGCGTTTGGATGACTTGTTCATGATGGTGTTTTGAGAGATGGATGCACGCAACGCGTTTTCTTTGCGGCCGGATACAGTATGCGTGGTGTTGCTAGTAGCTGGTATACTAGGCTTATGCAACGCAGAAGAAGGAATTTCGACAAAGACTTGAGATATACGCCTTACGATCCCTTTTGGCTGGCCTGCCATTGATGATGATGATCGTGGTTCTATCGGAAAAGACGCGTACAATAAACAATTGTCTTTATTGCATTGGTCACGTGATTCCACTGGCACGGGTTTCTTTTGACAGAATGTGGAAACCAGTTAACACAATGCGATTTGACCAATTAAAGTACGGTGTCACTCTCGAGCTCTGCATAATGACCAGTGACATGACCGTAGGATATTATATCTACATCCCAAGTGATCTACTGGGGTCTGGTATCGTTGATTAGGCGCCGATATTAGGGTAAAGCAGCAGACATCGTCTAGTAGGATCCGCGTCATTATTTGCTCCCGACATTGATAGAAATTTGGATACTGGTATGGTAGTAGATGTAATTCCCCCGGATATAGCGTCTTCCCGCACAAAGATGAGATTGACACTTTGAGACTGGGACAAAGCTTATCGGTCATATACCGAAACTAGTCACTGAATGAAGGGTTGACTGGCGCGGGCCACAAGATGAGAAAACCAAGCAACGGACTGATAGTTAGTATCACTATATATTCTGCTCTTGTGGACCAACGGGGTGAGAATCTTCATGCGAGGAAGCATGTGGTTCCTATGTCTTATTAGTAAAGTGAACCGCTCACTGGCACAGTTTTGACTGTGCTCTTGACTCTCTGAATTGAGCGAATATCAGAGTTCAAATCCAGTGTGGTGAAGCTCCACTTGACACTCGTGCGACTCATCAAGTCTGCACTGGTTCATAGCACCATGCCCGTCCACCGAGTATTGTCAATGTTGGATCCCGTCGCATGCGGTAAACCAGCGCATCCGATGATGTTGCCAAGTCACCATCACTGGATAAGCTGACTTACTGCATCATACATGTCCGAGAGCAACATCGATAGGGGGCCATTGACAGGCGATATGAACAGAGGCAAGGGAAGGGCAGGCAAAATATGAGGGCACCACATATAGAAGGGGGAGGAGAAAAGAGATGCGAGGTGACTCTTTAGACCAGCGCCCTTATAAGGCAGCTCATAGGCCTGTGCTTCTCTAGCATAGAAGCGAAGGGGAGGATCTCCAAATGTACGTTGACAAAAGGCCCAGAAGCGTCAACGATGCACGTTACCTATAGTGGTATCATTCTGAAGTGAACCAAGGCTTAAAGCATGAGCCGCTGACAAGACATATATTCCACCTACAGTGAGTCAGCTTTACAGTTAATCGAATAAAAAACGTATTTCAATTCTTTCGATCTTTTAAAGCGTTTTGCGGTGTTGATCGTCATTTTTACACCTCCAACCAGTCCAAGAAGTCCAGCGTGAAGTAAGACAAGATCAGGGTAGCACCTGGACGAAATTATGTCACCACCGAAAAGCCAATACTGATGTTCTCACCTGCCCGGACCATACTCTCCGTGGTCTCGAATGCCATGGTTTTGAGATCGTAGACGCCCGCAGCAGCACCAGCATGAATCATCGCGAATTCCCCGCTGACTTGATAGCAAGCGAGGGGATGGTCCGGTGCGAGTTGTGCAGCATCCGATATGATGTCGAGATATGGAAGCGCAGGTTTCACCATGATGATATCTGCGCCTTCTACCATGTCTCGTTGCTAAAAAAAAACACAACGATCAGTAGCACGTTGGGTAAGAGACGGAGGGCAGGACTTACTATTGCACGCCGTGCGAGTCCCTTGGCAGTAGGTGGGAGTTGGTAGCATTTGCGGTCGCCAAATGATGGCGCGCTTCCAGCGGCATCGCGGAAGGGGCCGTACAGTGCGCTTGCGAACTTGGCTGAGTAACTCATAAGGGTGCATTTACTGGCTAAGTCAGCGTCAATGAGTGCCTGCTTGATGGCCTTGACACGCCCATCCATCATATCGCTGGGAGCTACGCAATGGGCGCCGGCCTTGGCGTAGCTGATAGACACTTCTGCGAGACGTAGGACAGATGGCTTGGTGTTGATGGTGCCATCAGCGTGGAGCAGACCGCAGTGCCCGTGTGAGGTGTACTCGCACAGACAGACATCGCAGGCGATGTACAATGATGGAAATAGGAGTCTGATCTTTTTGATAGCTTGGATGACGGGTCCAGATGGATCGTCTGCTGGGGTGCCACGGCCATCCTACAAGATCTATAAGGCCACCGGGCGCAGTTTCACTGGATGGAAGCTCACCTTTTCACAATTCAAAGGCACACCGAAGAGGATGACGCTTTTCAGTCCTTTCTTCACCAATGGGCCGAGGAAGGATTCGAGCTGGTTGACACCCCAGCGGCGTTGACCAGGCAGTGAAGATATAACGACGCTGGCATCTGGATCATCGGTGATGAAGATGGGATACATGAACATGGACTTTGTGAGCTGCCTGCGACCCTGCCATGAGCGCGACAGGGGGTGCTGGTATCCACCCTGGAGGATTGAACTGAGTGGAATCAGCGTCTTAGATGTGAGATTATTGAGAATGAACATACTCACGAGATATCCATGTCGTTGTGGTCGACGTCAAACGTTAGCAATTGGACTGCGGCTGAACTAGCGCGTTCGTCGTCTACGTCTACGTCGTGGTACGATATCACAATCAATTAATTCGCAGCCTCTGAAATTCACAGCTGGCATAGGTCACCGGTCGCATGGGAACTTTTATTCCAACAATTTCAGCCCCATATGTGATGATCTATACGTGTTTATTCTCTAGAATGCACTGGCTGATGAACCTTCCTATATATGCTTCACGAATCACGGGGACTCGAATGTGTTTGCGCATACGATTTCCTTCATCTTTGACGCCGTTTTCTTCCATCGCTTGCCATTACTTTTAGTCGAGGGTCACAGTTTGATTCTCGACAGAGAGCGATAACAACCAGCAACAACAATCCTGAGCATGAACTTGAAAGAATAGATCGTGGAAAGGACTCAACGTCAACTGGTAGTCGGTGGCTGTGACGAATGTCGTGGGAATGAAATTTATCCTGACGAGCTGTCACGCCGTCCCCTCAGCTAGCTCGCTACTTCCATAATCCATTTGCTCCCTTCCCCCTCCGCTCCCTTTTGACCCTTCACTATGTCTCATGCTGACCACACAAGAGATCCATGGTGCGTAATAAATCAATTATTTGGCCAGTCCAGGTGATGATTTTGTCAAGTCCATGGGTCATATTGAATGACTTTGGAGGCGCATTTGCTATGGGCGCTGTCGGTGGCGGTATATGGCACGGTATCAAGGGCGCACGAAACTCCCCTAGGGTTAGTTCTCCGTCTTACTCTCATATCTCGTTCTCTTCCTAGTCCAACCGGAACAAACGTCACTGACGTGGACACTCACAGGGTGAACGTTTGGTCGGTGCCATATCTACAATCAAAGCACGTGCCCCAGTCACAGGTGGCAACTTCGGCGTTTGGGGAGGCATGTTTTCCACTTTTGATTGTGCCGTGAAAGGTTGGCGGCAAAAAGAGGATGCTTGGAACGCTATTATTTCGGGTTTCATGACGGGTGGATGTTTGGCCGCACGAAGTGAGTTTCCCCTCGTCTTTACTCCTTTCTTTATTTCTGACTCCAATGCGTCGGGTGTCAGGTGGCCCAAAATCAGCTTTAGGATCTGCAATTGCGTGTGGTATCCTCTTAGGTGTGTTCGAAGGCGTCGGTGTCCTTCTCTCTCGCGTGTTCAGCGAGGGTACACGACCACAGCTTCCGCAATGTACGTTTTCTCGTCTGACTTTGTTTCGTTGACTGACCATTTTCACTTACCTCACTCGTTTTTCACCTCCCGGCCATGCTTTCTCCTCGTTTCCCATGCGACTTTTGTGTCACGTTCACAGTACCAGATACTATCCAGTCACAGCCCTCAGGACACTAGCTCCATACCTGCCTCGCAATCTATATTACAATAGATGTCTCCCTCTGCCCTACGGCCCACTTACCCTCCTCATTGTATATTCGCACTGCAATGCAATGCATAGTACTGAATCTACTAATCGTCAGACTTGGTATGACTTATCGCCATCGAGCTCTTCCAGTCTCGAGACTCTTAGAATCTTGTGACTGCTATATCGATCTTGCAAATTCGTGTAGGAAACTCGTACACGAGAAGGACACTTACTACCTGGATCGTGCTCTTGGCCAAGCTCTCATGTGAGTTGATATGCTCCCGTGACACTGATCTGGATTCTACTCTCCCAAGCGCTACAAACGCAAACACTAGAACTTCTCCCTTGGGTTCAGGCACCTGTCACGACAGCCGTTTGCTACGACTGAAATCCATCAAACTATACGCGGCGTCTGAGTTCGCCTTCCGTGAGCTCACACCCCGCACTGTCCTGTCCACATCATCTCCCTGGTCATATCCATCTTTGTCTTATGCAGTAATATGAAGAACGATACATGCTAATCTAAGGGACACCAGTCACTGATGCGCTTCAAGTTTGCAAATGCCCTGACGTGGGAATATATCCCCCGCCAGTCCGCCATTCCCGCCGGCCATTTTATCCCGTAACTCGGTGAGTGAATTGACTTTGGAAACGAGCGTGATAATGACCAGCATCTATCATTCATCCTCTAGTCTAATTTGAATATCCTTATCCTCCTTCTGAGGCCGCAGCTTCTCTCCACAACCCTCAGACAGACATGAGGTTGATCAGCATACAAATTGTTGTCCGCAATCGGCCCAGGGACCGCATTCGCAGGGCGATATGTTGTTCCACGCCAGGTTGCCGAATGGGACAGACTGTGCTTCACAAGGTCACGGCGGTGGCAATCTAGTGGTATTACAGATATCAAGCGTTCGAAGGGGGATTTCAGGTGGATAGGTTCTTCCTTCGCCAATATCCAGTATGATTCAGTATATAAGCGTCTTCCTACCGTCCCCTTCAGATTGATTTAGTTGCCGTCGCTGCTACTTCAGAAGATGGAGAATGACTTCACATATATCATGACGAACCAATATCGACAGCAGCTCTCTTCCAAAACCTCAAGGGCCTCGGTCTCGCCTACAGACACTCGAAGAGTGTTGCGGCCGAACACACGTATCCAATTAGAGTCCAGAAAATACCAACAAAGTAGCCAGGGTGGGGGGAGGAACTCGGAGGGTAGGGAAGTTTGGAGGGTCCAACAGTTTAGTTACAAATTCTTGTCTCAAAAACAAACTAGGATGGAGGATTGGGCAGGTACTATTAGTATTGTGTCGTCACGGTCACGATGTAAATTCTGCCAATATTAATGGCAATATTATGTAATTTAATTGCCAGCAGAGGCAGAAGTCGGATTTGTCCTACGAGCATGTTTGACAAATATTCGTGTTTGAGCCTCCATGCACGCTCAAATGTCTTCAAAAAGCCCAAGGGTTGTCAGCCCTACTCGAAAAATCATCACCGACCTTATTTTTACGAATGAAACTACTGTTCGACGTCTATAGAAGGCCGTGACGATAAACATTATAAGCATAGTATTCTTGATTGGAATGCTTGCCTTACGACTCCGGATCACCCTCGCACAGTCTCCACCAAGAACGGCAATCAAGCCCTACTACATACTTCTACCTATCGTGGGCACAGATTCTGCTTCATTCCCATCAACTTCAGGAGGTACAGTTAAAGCTCCACAGAAACGGAAGAACCTCTTAATTACACAATGGACCGATCCTACAACCGACATTCCAACATACCACCCTACAAAAATTATACTTAACCCGGTCTAGTGTGGCGGCCCAAATGCTGAGGTTGTCGCTCGCATCATCTTCCCCATCCTCCCTCGCATTGATTCAGTTATAAACGGGCGACACACCTGGAACGTCAAGATGCTCTTCCAGAAAAGTGGGACGAGGTTGACAGACATCTCGACTCTCTTAAATCTTCTGCGGGTTTGGCTGTCATATCACAGGAGCAATTGCGGAATCCCGAGTGTAGGATACAGCACTGTAAGTGCTCGAGTCTGTCCTCTAGAGTCTGTAGCTCAAAACGCACTATGTTTTAGCGCTGAACTACATGATAACGCACTTGTGTTAGGTGTGATTTGTAACACCTTCTCGACTAATACTGAGACCGTTGTGATAGTACTAGTGACTCGGAGCTGCTGTCAATTGGTGTGCAACTTGAGCCGCGGTGGTGGGTATTGATAATAATTGATGCCGTCACTAGAAGATAGTGGTTTACCTCTGAGTTATGAGTTATCCGCAGAGGACGTTAATTGATTGTGTATCAGACTTGGGGCCACGATAGTACATGCTTCCCATGTTGAGCAGTGTGTGCATGTTATTATGAAACGGCCTGGCCCCCTTCTGGCCACTACTTGTTCAGCGTTTGAGTCACGGTTTGTAATGCCCAGTGTTGCGTCGGCGCCTTCTCGAATCCTCAATGCACATACCAACGGTGGCCTGGACTAGCACAGCTATGGAATCTACAAACCCAGCACCGATGAGGCGTAGCTTTGGTACAACTGTCGCTGGCCCAAGGAGAATGGATGCAGGTAGCCTGCCTGTTCTCAACCATGATCAATCATACCGCGTCGATGCAGAACAACATTACTTCTCCACTTCTCACGACCACCCGACTGTTCAGCGACGTCAGTCAGCCAAGCAACTCATCGACAGATACGAGTCCATTTCGCGAGTGGGACCATCAACCGCTCGTATGCCACCAAGCGCAGCCCGTTTTCATGGTTTATCATCTCGCTCCGTTGGCAAGGGCAAGAGAAGGTCTCTAAGTGCCTCACTGCGCAATTTCCTGTCCGTCTTCCAGAAGGGAAGGAAAGGAAAGGACGGAGATGACCAAGAAGAAGACGTTCCTACAGTTGTGGTCGACGCACCGAGCATGGCTCAGATCCCTTCAATGTACACCGAGAGTGCTCCCCTCCCTCATGATACGGGTGCTGTGGTCCTGTCAGCTGGTAAAGTCTCTGCACTCCGACACTCTGGTGCGCTGTTATATCTTTCCATGTCATCATCCTCCACTACTTCGCCCATCCTGCCCGTCTGGACGTCCTGCAATGTCACCTTGCATACCCCGCATATACTCATAACATGGTATACTGTTCACGGCAATCCTTCGACTCATGTCCTTCCACTAGATGGTTGCACTGATGTCCGTTCTGTCTCTCTGAACCGACTGGATCTTGATGAGAAGGCTCTTCTTCCGACCCAAACAGACCATTCCGAGCCGAAGGTGTTCGAGCTTCTGTTCGAGGACCGTCGAAGAGAAAAATTTGCGGCATCATCGAGTCAAGAACGGGCACGGTGGGTCAGCGCTATATGGTATGGCGATGACACACAATTAGCGATACAAATTGATACGACAACTTTTACAGGGATACATTACTTCAAAGACAGTCGCAAGGGATAACACGCGTACAGGCGTTAACGATACAGACAAACTTGCAGCGTAAAAGTCAAGACTACTTGCAGCCTCCGTCAGCATCGGAGTATACTTCCTCCGAATACACTTCGTCTAGTGATGTTGAATCCGAGACCTCGCTGACGACGGAGCAGTCCCTTCCTCCGACGCCGAGCAGTAAATCAGCCCTGTCTACACAGTCTCCAGCTCGTTTCAGTCTACACGACTCACCACACAATCGTTCTCCCATGTCACTCTTGCCTCCACGCCCTCCGTCACAATTATCACCATGGAGTCCTAGTCCTAAGAGTCCCTCCATTGCTAAACTCGGACACCTTTCCGTTGTCACACAACGGTTGGCGCAGATCGACCAAACAAGTTCGCCAGGATCAGCGAGTAGTGACTCTATCTTGCCGCACTTACGGGGTGCTCAGACCATCCGGCCTACGCGTGCTCGCCGTGCGTTTGCGGAAATCCATAAGATCAAAGACGAAGGCTTTTCGAGCGACTCGCCGTTAAGCAGTGGTGGACCCAGCCCGCAACCGAGATCACCGGCATCCATCGAAACATACTCTTCGCGGTCAAGGAGTGCTTTCGTTCGTAGTGGGACGTCTCTAACACCTGCTCCGACTCTTCTTGAGACTCCGCGAGTTATCGTGGATGGATTACCGGTTCGATCTCCCTCGCCATCTACAGTAGACAAGCCTGGTCTGCAGGTGGCGCCCATTACGGACCTGATCAAGGAGGGCGAAGCAATGACTTTTGATCAAACGACAGGTATCAGGGAACAAATAGCTGCGTTACAACGCGATATCCAGCACCTTCCCAGCGAGCTGGCACCCTTGTTGGCTGATACCACACGCCAATCTTCCACCGAGGCTAAGGAAGCTATTATTTCTACGATACAAACCTTGGTTGCCAGGGTAGAGGAGATTCAGCAGCAGGACTCCTCCAGCACTATCCAGCTGCAGGGAAACTCCATTATGAAGATCCTGGACGTCATGCAGACGCAGTTGAAGTCGAGTCTTCCTCGTGTCCTCGAAAAACTCGATGCGATCCATGACAATCAAGAGCGAGAAATGTCGACGTCACGCGCGAGGATCGCCATGAACAATCTGGGACCCCCTCTCTCTACACCGACTCCGCCAGCGGAAGGTCCAACGCCCTGTCTGGATGTGGATCTCTCGGACATATATGCAAAGCTGGATGAGCTAGCCTTACTTTACAAGACTGGTAACACCCCGTTGAGCCCCACTCTGGGACACCCCCGCGAAAATGCTGAAACTCCAGAGAAGCTAGCGCATGAATTGTTAGACGACAAGGTTCGATTTTTTCAATCACGCGGTTTCATTGGCTGAACTTCCACAAGCTGAAAGCCGTTCTGGATTACCTGAACGCGGACGAAGAACAAAAAAAAGTGCAGCTCGAACAGCAGGCCGACAGCGTCCGCTACCTGAACGAACTAAACTCGGTTAGGTCCAGAGCGTAAAGTGCACACTGCTACTGACAAGTTTCCATCAGTGGCTGGACGCGTTTGTCAACAAAGGCACCACGCAGATACAGGCCGTCGCAACTGGTGTTGAACAAATTTGTAAACAACTGGGTATCAGCACATCCGAAGAGCTTCGAAGCACCAGCCTGAGTGGACAGGTGCAACAACTACTAGAGGCGGCGCGGAGTCGAGTGCACAATGAAGATGACTTGCGATCCACAGTCCATGAATTGATCCAGGTCGTTCAAGAACATCTCACTCATGGAAATGAGCAACGCAAAGCACTCGGTTTGTTTGTTGAGTCTTCTTTGTGGCGTCAGTGATCAAATGATGATATATCTTAGTGACGGACTCGGTAATGGAAATTATCAATCGCCAAAGAGCAGACCAGGAGCAAATGCTGCGAGCGTTGTCGAGCGGTAAGTGGTTTCTTTTACTCAGAAGAACTTGGCTGACACATGCTAGAACTGACGGAGGAGATCCGAGGGGAACGACTGCGATTCGTGGAAGCGATGAAAGAAGCCACAGCAATTAATGTGCAAGGTGCGTTTGCCCTATGTCCTCATGTTCCTTCATTAACGGCGTTCTGATGAGCAGCTCACGTTGAACATTTCAAGGCTGAGTTGGGTCGCGAAGTTGCAGTAATGACACAAGACGTTGGAAGGCTGCACAAAGAGAAGCAAGCGATCGAACAGCAAATTGCAGACCTATTCGCATTCTACTCCAAGCAAAAGCAGGAATCCGAGGTGCGTCTCCTCGATCTCCTTTTGGCTTGGTAATTTATTGTTTTTGAAATTGCAGGCTCCCTATCGGCGTGTCCCTCCAAGGTCTTCGGGCCCTCAAAATGTTCAGAATATAGCTGGCTCGGAATTACCGCAACGACGTCCGTTACCCAGCCCTGAAAACCACGGTGTTGATGATATTAGGTTTCAAAGGCGTGATCCTCGGACTAGAATCAGAGCTGAGTAACCGGGGTATTAAGATGGATATGGGAGTGGAGAACAGCGATTTATGTAGTACAGTGGTCTATGCGGAGACAAGCGAGCGTTTGATGGATATGCCAATAAAAATTAGTAATGTTAAGCCCTCACTTAGGCACCGCCGACACGATTATCGGATCACGGCCGCGCGCGCGAGGGAGCGATAAACGGCAGGGCCTCATCCCAGCTCATTCTCTCCCGCTCCTTTCCCAGGGCTTCGCCCCTGCGAACTTCCTCGGCGTCAATGACTTTCCAGTCATCATATTGTGTGACTATGCCGTCTTTAATTCCGTGAACAATTTCTGATGGTAATGCATCAAGATCTGGATGACGATTGAGCAGTTCATCTGGTGCCATCCCCATTTCTGGCAGGGGTGGTGTGGGAATTGTTACTGATTCTGATGACGGTACTATGTCAGAGAGAATAGTGCTTGCGACCGCATATGCATCGATCATAGTTGAGGCAAGCACACCCTTCGCACCATTGGCTGCCCATCCGGAAGCATATACATTTTTCAAGGCTGAACCCTCGGAAGAAGTAATACGCCCTGCGGATGAACGAAGGTGACGGAGGGCAGGATCAAAGAAAGCCGACTCTGGGTCTGCGTAAAATCCGAGGGAGGTGACGACGAGAGAAGTAGGAAGAGTCGATGTCTCGCCAGTAGGCACTGCACGAGAAGTGGCAGGATCAAGACGGGTGTGAGCGAGGGTAAGATTCGCCATGTCTAACACTGAAGCACTTGATGGAGGAGTGAGACTAGCAGGAGAGCGGTAAAAATGGAGCGACCAGGATTTGAGCGTCGATCCTGGTAGATTCTTGGATCCTTTCTGAAGTAGCTCGAGTGTGCGCCGCTGCTGGCGTGTTAATGTGACACCTGATGGGGGTGTAAGCAAAGCGGGATCAATGGGAATCATCGATGCCTCTGGGAGATTGATCATCTCCCGAAGCTCTTTAGTAGTGAACGCAGCCTCCAGGGGTCCCCGCCTTCCAACTATGGAGACGTGCTTGACGGTAGAGCGGGAGAGAACTTCGAGAACATGCTCTGGTACATCATATTGACGAAGTACAGAGGGGGAAGTCAGAAGAATACGTGCAATGTCCAGTGACACGTTTCCCTGTCCAATTAATGTGAGGTGTGATATCTTGTCAAACGCGGGGGGTGGTGGCTGGGATGGGTGTTGTGTATACCAATGGACCAGTGACAGAGCAGGTATGCACCAAGCAGACGGAGGGATTGCAGGGTGCTGGGTGGGCATAGTACATCCCGTCGAGAACAGTAAGTGGGAGTAGTTGTTGAGTATGGAAGTCAGGGGCAAATGAAGCGCGTGAGGAATAGAATGGAGGGGCGTGCTTCCGACATTCACATTTCCGAAGAAACGGAAACGTGGGTCAGTTGCGGTCACGTCGAATTTGTTCGTGCAATTCTAAGAGTCTCCTCAGTGATTAGTGATAGATGAAGAAATCAAAACTTACCTTGACCTCTGGATGATCTGGTGCAACGCCATAGCGCACGAGGCCATGAGGTGCCCACAGTCGATCGTACATGTGCACCCTTAGTGACGGGGACATTGGATCCCTCAGTGGAAGAAGAGAGAGCAGGCGCGAGGCTACATAAAATGCAGATGGCCCTCCACCGATTATAGCTAATTTCACCGGAGGCGGCATGGTGCAGAAGACCAAGTGCCGAGCAGTTCGCGAGCCTGAAAAAAAAAGATGATGAGCGTTTGATGAGCGTGAGTGTGAACGACGCCGACCGTGGCGGCCTGACTGACGTGGCGCGTAGGCCGCATAGTCACGGACTCACGGTAGCACCTCGAATTGCTGAATTGGCTGAGTGTACCGGCACTTCTTGACTTCGGCTGTGATTCATGCAAGCGACACTCAGTGTTGCCGCTCTCAAACGTTTGCTCCAACCTTGATATTGCATTTTACGGAGCTCACTCGGTTCCAGCGTTCATTAGGGCACTAACATGTCTGTCAAGATATGGCGACGATGTTGTCATATCTGCAAACCCAGAACACCTCTCTTTAAGCGCGACTAATTCCTCACTTTCTGCATACTGTTGCTTCAAGTACGGGCGCAGGTTCTTTTCCAGATATAATTTCAGAGATGGCGTGGCACAAGACGGTGCCCAAGACGTGAAAGGACAGCTGCTCGCTAAGGTATGTCTGCTCTGTTACCTCACTGCGTTCCGTGACAGACCGTTTGAAAACATAGACATTTCTTTCCATTATTAAACATAGAACTATCGAGAAGACAATGGAACGCTGCGAATTTATAATCGTCGAAGCAACAGATCTATACGACCAGAATGAGCCAGACGAGGACCGGGACACATTAGAGAGCAGATTGATCATTCGACTGCACTGTAAACATGGTATGCACGAAACCCATTCCACGTGCACAGACATGTAAAAGTCTCCGCAGGAATCGTAAAGACTCACCGACTGCCTCTCTTGATCCCTACATCATCACTTTCACCGGGTTCCTCAGACCCTTCGACTGAATCCCGTCTTACAATAGGTCCACGCGCAATAAAAGACATAACAGAGCACTTCCCGAATGCTCGAGGAGCGAAAAGTGATCCTCAACTTGTATGGACCTTTGGAGACACGGAGGTTGAGGTTAAGAGCCTTGAATCTTCTATCGACACTAGAGGTGGGAATGCCTAGTCCAGACGGTGGATTACTCATATCTGTCCCCCAAACCAGGTAAAGCTCAATTATCAACAGAGCTGACAATCAGCGCGGATGAGTTCGATGTCTATGACGTCTATGCAACCCCAACCACAATCTCTTTTCACTTGCGAGAGTTTAATGTATGTGACCACAGCTAATGTCCACTGCTACAGTCTCTGACTTCTTTGATCTGATAGGCCACAATTACTTTTGCGGAATCTATGGGTCTCTGCCTAGATCTACGCTTCACGGATCCTGCGGCCCCTCTCTTCATCGACGTCGAAAGCGACGAGTTAGAATGTCTTTTTGTCATATCTACCTCGCAACACGGTGGTTCAGCCGCACCCCCACCCTCAAACTCTACTCTACTCAGCGCACGCAAACGTCCTTCTCCGAACGATGATGGGGAAGGCAGTTCGAGACAGCGAAGCGAAACGCCGAGGATCAAGAAATCAATGAAAGCTGTGCAGCGTATGGATACGCGTACACCTGACGTAACTTCTACTTCAAAAGCCCAAAGCGATGTACGATCAATGCCACCACCATCTTATATTCCTCAACACACGCCAGGCTCTCCGCGAAATCAGACGCCGCCTCATCCCTCGCCGTCTTGGAATCTCCCGCCAGATCCATCCCATGGGGTTACGGTGCAACCCGAACCTCTTTTCTACCCTCAGTCCTCTCAGTTACTGTCGGATGGGCCAAGTGGGAGCCCTGAAGTTGGTCGAGCTAAAGCACGGGATCGAACTCCGTTATTTTATCCCCTTTCACAACTCTCTCAGGCAGACAAGGAGGTAATACGCGCATCTGGTTTGGGTATCGAGGACATGAACCAGGATGAACTAGAGGCAATGCTCGAAGGAGAGGGCGAAGAAGTTGACTTTGAGTTTGCGGCGTCTCAGAATCTTACCAACGTGGAAGATGGAGATTCGATTATGCTTTCTGCGGATGATGATCATGAAAGCTTCGAACTTGTTGAAGGAATTGACACTGTGCTTGGGCCAACACAAGACGACGTTGGAGGCAGGAAGAAGGTACGTTTTGTCATCCTATGGAGAGCTGAGTGCTAATCTATTGTCTACCTTAGACATTTCAGCCTCTGTTTGAAGATTGATCTGGACACAAATAGCATGTCAGGATTTTGTTCACCCTCTACTGTCGTGTTTACTTCCCTTTAGTGGGAGAGAGTTCTGTAGACAATTGATGCCAATGTCTGTCGTTCCATGTGTGGAAATCACTTTTCCCATTAGTTACTGGGTCCCGTGTCTCTTGTTTGAATCAAAGTGCGAAAATAGGTGAACGTTCTCCCCGTCATACTTATGTACGACTATGATCGTGTATTTAAATTTACCGCAGACGGTCCACGGTGCATGTTTTTCACAAAACACCCCCCTGTTGTCTGTCGTCTGCACGGTGTAAGTTACCCAAATCCGACTTTCGTGTGTCAAAAGTACTGGACTCTTACTTGCCTGAGGCTGCGAAGTTCTTGTCACGGTGAGCATATCGGCTGGCCAACTCGAAGGAACGAGGCCAAGCCGATTGCCATGATTGGCGATCTTGTAAGATGCTGGATAGTGAACGTGATGACATGTCCGTTCTGTACCAGTACTACGAGACCAATTGCAATGGAAGGGACAGTATAACCCATGTGCATGATGTATTGGTGCACAATCTTTGATCAAACTAATAAATTGATCTTGTCCGGGCCTGGCGTGTGCGGGCACCGTTATCAACGCAATAATAAGTAGTGCAGTATACGCAGCCGATGAGTATACGGTTATGTGCCCGAGCCGAATTACGAAAAGTTTTATGTAGCCTTCAAACTGCCCGAGCCCGATCATGTTGCTGCCAGACCATCAACATGCACATTATCCTGAAATTCCGTGGACCACCTATAAGCTGGCACAGCTCACGTTCATTCATTCCCTCGCAAAAGTCGTTCGTTCGTCATAATAATACTGACCTATATAAGCGCCTGGCCTCGTCCGACGCGCCCCAAGCTCTACCAAAGCGTCTTCGGGGAAAGGCGTGGCTTCGGTATTCGGCAACGCTTCTAGCGCTCACTGGTGCAGGGTACTATGCATATGAGAATCACCAGCCCTCCCGGCATGCTGTATTGGCGACTTTACGGTGCTCGCGACTTGCGCGTAAGGTTTTATGGCGACAAATCGATGTTTTACTACAACACTTAATAATAACGCGCAGAGGCTGCAATATCCGGAGCAATTGATTACAAGCGTACTCTTGCGCGCACCTATGCTTCTGAGGAAGACAGACTTGAAGCAGTCTCCCAATGTCATATTCGGAGCGCTACGAAGGTGCGGGATGCTCTGTTGGTTAATGGAGGTTTGTTCCAATGCGCTGGTTGCGCCATGGACCTCATAGCTAAAATGATAAATTTCATTCAGGCATCTATATCAAACTGGGACAACATGTCGCATCATTGTACGTTCGTCTTTACGTCGATATACCTCGCAGATTCTAATCATTTGAGGAAAGAATTGTACTACCAAGGGAATGGACCAGTACCATGGCCCCGCTCCAGGACAGGTGTGACGCCACTCCATATGAGGATGTTGCAGCACTGTTCCTATCAGATATGGGACAACCTATAAGCGAGCTTTTTGACAATTTCGACCCGGTTCCTATTGGTGTTGCAAGTTTGGCTCAGGTTCATGTGGGATATCATAAGCCATCAGGCAAAAAGGTTGCAGTGAAGGTGCGTTCTGAAAAGTTGTACTGGTTTGAGACGTTTACCTTGGTTGAAGGTTCAACATCCTCACCTGGTCGAGTTCTTCAACATCGACATGAACATGGTCCAGTCTACTTTGGGTATGCGTGTTCGGTCCCTAGAACCCAGCGCCACTCACAGTTTGCTATAGGCTGGATCAAGTACTGGTTCCCGGAATTTGAATTTACCTGGTTGGGTGAGGACATGCAGGAGAACCTCCCGAAAGAAATGGATTTTGTGCATGAAGCCCACAATACGGCTCATGCGATTGCTGATTTTGACAATGTCAAAACGTCATTATACATACCCGAGGTCATATTTGCGAACAAACGAGTTCTCATCATGGAATATATTCAAGGAGGCCGCGTAGACGACCTTGCATACCTTGCAAAGCATAACATTGACAGGAATAAAGTCGCGCTAGAGCTTACGCGAATCTTCAATCGAATGGTGTTTATGAACGGGTGGTTCCATGCGGTGAGGTGTTTTACAAACAGCTAAAGCAGGTCTGATTCGAGTTTCCTACAGGATCCCCATCCTGGTAAATGAGTTTCCTTCTATGCGTTTAGCTTGACTGACGCAGTACAGGTAACTTGTTGATACGACCTGCTTCTAAATCATCCAAGTCGCCCTATAATTTTGAGATCGCACTCTTGGACCATGGACTGTATTTTGATCTTGAACGGGAACTTCGCGTGAACTACAGCAGGTTGTGGCTGTCGCTCATTGCTGGCTCGTCGCCAATTGTCGACGCTGACCGTCGGAAGTATGCAGAATTGGTCGGGAACATCACATCTGATTTGGTAAGGGTTTGGTTTTTTTGGTGGAGCAAAGCATGTCATGATGTGTTTATCAATAGTATCCTGTTTTCGAGGCAGCAATGACTGGCAAGCCCCTGCGCTGGTGGATATTCCTCTATTGACTGTTTTCATTAGGCCGGCTGGCACCGATGGTATAATTGAAGCAGATGACGGACCCAAGAGCACCATCTCGCGAGCCACAGGCATGCCTGACATGGCTTCTCAGACTGAGGAGAAAATGGAACTCGATCGTAATACTGCTGCCCAAGGGGACATATTGGTATCCGTACTCGATGTCCTGCGCCGACTGCCTAGGCGCGTTGTGATGATCTTGAAGCTCAATGACCTGGCGAGGTAGGTAGTATCACATTCTTGAAATTTGCTGCTAATCAACCACTTCCGCAGGCACTTGGATCATTCACTGGCAACAACTCATTCGAGTGTCGGTATTATTTTTTACTTCTTGGCTTAATCTCAACGCGCAGATAATTAGGTCAGGATATTCCTCATAACGTCAAAGTACTGTATGAAGGCAGTATGGCAAGATGAGAAAAACCGCTTCCGTGAGGGCGGACTCGGGTTTGGATCCTTCTTGGGCAGCGCTTGGTGCGTTGAATCCTCTGCTTTGACCACACACACTTGATTGCACCTGCAGGGCGTTCGCAACTGGATATTCCAAAATTACACTCATCGAGTTCATGATGGATTGGCAAGCTTCGCTGGTTAAGTCGAGCGCGTGGTTACGTGGGTTTTATTCAAGAGGATTAGCGGGAGCGCACGATGCGGCAGCCGGTCTCTACTAGTTACATTTTATGGTGCACATACAATTAGAAGGTCATTACCGTCATGACAGATAGAGTTTTAGATGTTATGTTATTTCTTACTTGTTAGCAAAGAAAGAGTCGATGGTGTTGATGCTCTTTTTCAGACAAGCCCACTTGAGAGGTGTTACTTGGGATACCCTAAACATACAATCGGTGGACTAACCTGTTCCTGATTCAAGCAGATGCCTTTCTTTCCTGGTTTTTCGTCCTCCTTGTCTTTACCATAAAATTCACGAATATCGACAAGAATCTTGCCTGCTTTTTATTAGCAACATGGTTATATGTAGACACAAATTGTTGTTCACCTTTGAACTCACGGACGGTTACACGTTTCTTTTGGCCCAGCTGAACATATTTTTCACCTTCAGGACTGGTGAAGACCTCCACATCGTTGTCATGGGTTGACTTTTTATTCGAGCCTGGAGACTGACCAGTGGCGGAATCAGGGGTTTAAGTACAGTGATTGCAAAGAACGCGCACTTGGCTGGCTGAAGAACCAATTTTTGGCTTCTTGATAGTTAAAGGCTCCTCGGTTGCCTTTGGAGTTCGCTTTTTCTGTGTTGGAGTTGTTGATGAGCATGACATCACAAACACGGTACTTGGCTTGCCTTAGTTTCGGTTTTTGGCTGATCATCCTCCGAGTGCTCATAGTCTTCGTGTTCGTCGTCACTGGGGCTCTTGCGCTTTGGCATGAACGTGTTAGACAGTGTTCAAGTGATAGATTGTTCGGAAATATTCTGCTTAGCTTGCTAGAACACGTTGTTGAATTTCAAGTTGTACATAAAGTCGGATGTGGCTGAAGACGCGTTCGTGGTAAACACCTTCCTAATATATTGTTGAACATGTTACGTCGTCAACTCCCCTCCCATTTGGTTTCCTATCTTCTACAGTCGAGCCTTTTAATTCAGATCTGAAGCCTCGATTTCATCTTCCCGCATTCACTGCGGATCAATGAAGATATCTCAGAAATCAAGGAGGGCGGTCTCTCCGGTCAGTAGTCTAAATTTCATTCTCAAGCGAAACAATTGGTATCTGACCAGGGTCGTGGCGTTTTCAGCACCCTCAAGTAGCAGAGCTTGTCACAAAGCTTGTAAACACCCCAAACGATGATCTTGCCGACGTTTTGGCTGATATTGACTCCTGGAAATGGCCGCGATCCGATCTCAATGCTTGGACTAAGGTCCTTGATAAGTTCGATGTCATCCTAGAGGAAGCCATCCGGGACTACGAAGTGGACAAGTTGCAGATAAACGTATTCACTCCAGCGACGAAGAAAACTATAAGCCATATTCTTAGGTTTGAGAGGCTTCTTTTGGAAAACTCCACCAATCGCAAAACCTTCAACTCCTATGATGTGTGTCCTTTTCATTCAATCACCGATCCACGTCTAATCATTGCTTTAATGCGCTCGATCTCAGAGGCTCAATTCACTACTATTCACATCAGATCTTGACGTACTCACGCTAGCGCTGAGTCTTCTCCTTCGCCCTGCACAACAATACTCCGCTCAGCCCGCGGTATCAACAGCCCTTAGCATATCCACACCCCGTTTGCTCTCCCTTTCCAAGCGGTGGCCTCACATCCATGAACACGGCATAAGCTTGCTGGATCTTGTCAGTGCAAACGGTCCATTGCAGGTCGATGTTCTGCCTGCCGAAGCTCGTGACGTAAGTTTCGTTTGTTACAGAACTGACCACAAGGAGAAGGGACAGGGGAAGGAATCCGATCACAGTGAAGCCACGCTGTCCAGCCCTCGCAAACTCTCCGTTCCACCCTCAACTTCGCACTCATATGCGTCTACCATTCATATTGACGAAGAGACCCTGAAGAACAAAGCGGTCATGGAGATCATGGCGGATGTATTGGAGACGCACCCGCTGAATAACGATGACAAGTTCGAACTCCTTTGTCGCATTCGATCTGCAAAGGCACTTGCCAGCGGCAACGAAATCATGAGAGAGGATCTTGTCGTCATACGACTAATTTGTATCGCCATATATGGTCATACGCACAGCGAGAGTCAAGCATCATCGACACTTTTCCTGTATGAACCGGATCTCACTACCCACATCGCTGAACTGCTCCAGTTGGATCGTGGGGTTTCGATACCTGTGCAGACAGCGGCTATCTCAGCACTGGACTCGATCGCTAGGTACCGAGGAAAAGTGACGGAGGTATTGGGCGCCGTCAATGCTGGTGTCAACCATGGAATCATCATGGCACTTCTGCGAAAGACTATCTTGGAGGTTAACAATCCGGAGAGCAGAATCTCAGCTACCTTCGTCGAGTCTCTTCTTTCATTTGTGACCTACCTTGCGCAGCATATCAACGGGGGAAATATGCTTGTTAGTGCAGGCCTGGTTCCCTTGTTGGTTCAGATCATGGAGAATAGGCTGGCTCAGAGACTCCAGATGGTCTCGAAGGCTATGCAATTGGTGGATAACATCCTCTACGCTTTCTCAAATGCGTTTCAGGTATTTTCAAACTCCCGTGGGGTCGAAGTCTTGGTAGCCAGGATCCAGGTAAGTATAGGATGGTATCGCCCTTCAGTCAATCGTTGACTTATCAAAATCTGACCAGCACGAGGTCGACTTTGATATCACGATGTACGGCAATGAGCGCTCCAGGGACTTGTTTGGTTCGTACGGTGAGTGACTGTTGTGAGTTAGGAGTAGAACAAAGTGCGATAATAGTCGCAGGACAACTTCCGGTTCCAAGGGCCGCCGTGCTTAAACACACGTTGCGCTCCATACATCGCATGATGCAGTCGACGGGTACATCTGAAGGGTTGCGTGGGCTGATTGATTCCACCCTGCCACAATCAATCAAGAAGATCATGGAGTATCGTGGCCTCTTTGGTCCCAATCTTCTGCCTCTTGGTGAGCGCCTTGTATGCTATGCAGGTTCGATTAATTGATGACGATGAAAGCCATGAACATAATGGCAACATTTATTCATAATGAGCCGACATCGCTTGCAACGATTCAAGAAGCAGGCTTGCCTCAGGTGTTCTATAAGGTGATCGAAGCAGGTTTGGAACCTGTTATTGAAGTAAGTACTGTTTCTCCACCATTTGCACTAACTTATGCCTTCCTTCAGCTCATCCAAGCCATTCCCAATGCAATCGGAGCACTCTGCCTCAACCAAGTCGGTCAGGATCAGCTTGCAACTCGCCCAAGTGTCATACCTGGCATTATCTCGATCTTCACTTCCGAAAGCCATATCAAGGTCCTTCGTGAAAAAGAAAATGCCGTACTAATGGGCACTGCCATCGACGAGTTGATCCGCCACCATCCAACGCTCAAAATTCCTATCTTTGATGCCGTCAAGTCTGCTCTGAGTAAAATCGAGGATCTTGGAAATACTTTCGTGATTCCTGAGGGCAAGAAAGAGTGGTATAGTCTCATGCTCGCCTCGCAAACTACGGACAAGGACGATAAAGACGACAAGAGCGATATCATCCCTATGGATCTTGTGGACAGTGACGTTCGTTCTGACGCTCAGGAGGACACGTCTGACGACGACTCGCTGAGGAGTCATGACAACAACGTAGTTCTTTATGTTGATGTCTTGTGCCGAGTGAGTTATGCACACTTCTTTTCGAGACTAGCATTCACGGTACTTTGCACTCGCAGTTTCTTGAGGGTCTGTTCCAACATACGCAACATTGCAGAGATTTTATCAGGAATGTTGAGGGTCTCGAGCGTATTGGCAGGCTCACTGCGTTGCCATGCCTTCCATATGATTATGCGAATAGTGTTGCTTCAGACTCGCTAGTACAAGTTATTCGGACGATGGCGGATGTAGGACCCAATGAGGCACTTCACCATCTTTCAAAACTCGTGGAGAATTCCCTCTCTGACTCTCAGAGTTTTTGGGCGACTCCTCAGTCCCACTCCAAGCTGGCGCCGTTCGTTGATCTTTCAGGTAATCTTCCCCCCGAGATGTGACAGCGAGATCTTGCTCAAATATGTTTTAAAGTGGAACAGGAAAGTGTAGCAAATCAACAATTCCGGAGCCTGGTGACCCTTCACATCCGCATCACTGTCTTGGCTGATGTTTTCTCCACTGCTGGCTATGCACACGGAAGGTCTGCAATCGGACTTCTTCAGACTCTCATGAGTGACCCGCCGAAAGTCGTCAAAGAGCTAGGTGCTCTCCACCGTGCATCGGTGTGGGAGAACATCTTGTTCAAAGCCGACATGGTAGCCAAGGGGATGGAGGTGGGTCCGAGCAGTCAGGGATCTCCCCTAGGGAGGTCACCTAGCCATGGTTCAATTTCTCTCCCCGAGCCCAATGTTGGCGTTATTGCCAACGGTGTTCAGCCGGGATCGGCGTCTATACCCGCGCAGTCATCGTCGCCTACATCGCCGAAGATAGATACACCGCGAGAGAAGAATGCCAAGGCTCTCAAGCATCTAATGCATGGTCTTCCAAGCGCTTTGGCCCCCTTTTTCCAAGGTTCGTTTTACGGTTCTACCTAGCTTTCAAGGCACATGACTGGATGTATTCCCTTAGCCATCGTAAAGTTGTTCTATGCGAGGCGTAATCCTGATACAACCCAGAAGAAGCAGATTTTATCTGCATCAACCACTATTGCAGAGATCATGGTGGAGCATCTGAAGTACGAGGTCGAAGGTATTAATGTGCCCTCAAAAGTTGATCGTCTACTCACTGTAACCTTCGCAGGCGATCGAGTCTGTTGCCTAGACTATCACAGCGTCATGTTGGGACTTGTGACGATCCTAGTTGTAGACGGTATGTACTCATTACTTCTTCTCCCGAACTCGAACTGATGCACTACAGAGCGAACGATGAATCCCACTCTTCATACCGTGTTACTCCTTGCTTTTCAGCGTGCAAAGGGTTTGGAAGCCATTTTCAGAATCTGCAAATACTTCACTGACTTGGTCGGTGGCGTAACGGCTGTGAAACCCGAAGATCGAACGGAGACTATGCAGCAGGAACTTGCTCATGCTCAGGGAGGGCTGAAGGTTGCATTGAATCTCTTGCACCCATTACTTTCTTCAAAGCCGCTCATCGAGTCCGGCCAAACGTCACTAGTCACAACTCGGGAGAAGAAAGATACGGAATCCGATTATTTCGAGCCTCACCATTTCCTTGTCGGGCTTCGCCTCGAGAGCATACCACTACTGCGTAGTATCTGGGAGGCTTCTTGGCTTCGTTCATCCCCTTTGACGTTGGTCAGGTCGGTTGTTCAGATCATGCTCGAGGTGACGGCAGGTGAGAATGAAGAGCTCAAGGGTGATCCTTCCCAAGAAGGTCTTACTAGTGGAACTGGCCCCCCTGTTGGCAGCGGTTTTCATATTAGAACTGCTGGGCCAGATGAAAGTCGCATCCGCCAGCTCACTGATATGGGATTCCCTCGCTCTGCCGCCGAACGCGCTCTTGCCCGCACTCATAATAATGTCAATGCCGCGACCGAACTACTCTTGAGCCAGCCTTACCCATTTCCCCCTGACCCACAGCCAAACGGATCTGTCGCGGAACAAGATGAGACAGGTGATGCCCTTGCGGATGGAGGTGACGAGGATCCCTCTGATGAGGAGATGGATGTTGAGGATGCTACCCCGCCCGCTCCTCCGGCCGAGTCTACCCCACCCCCCCAAACGACTAGTGAAGAACAAGGGAAGGGTCTCGAAGAATTACGGAAAGATCTCGACGAAGCAAG